TTTGGGCCATAAAGTTTATAGAAAACCAACACACACTGACAGATATCTGAATTATAGTTCATTTCACCATCCTAGCATTAAAAGATCAGTATGCAAAACATTAATCAACCGTGCCAAAACAATTTGTGATCAAATAGCATTGACTCAGAGTTAAAGCATTTGAAGGATGTCTGCACATGAATGGTTATCCTAAGAAATTCATAGAACATGCTATGAATGAACAGCAAGACAGAGGCAAGACACGGAATATCTATCCTCTGTCTGTTTACCATATATTGGCCCAGCTTCATATAAAATCGTTAGGATTTTAAAAGAAGTTGGAAATACAAGTTTACCATTCTAGCAATAAAAATTGTTTCGCGCTCTTTACACACACACAGGATGGCGTCGATGAACAACAGAAACCTGGTGTGTACCGCATTCCATGGAATGTGGTTTGGTTTACATTGGAGAAACCGGTAGAAATCTCAATACGTCTAAAGAACATAAGACGAACTGCGAGAAAGGTAAACTGGATAAGTCTGCAGTAGCTCACCATGCGTGGACTTATGATCATCGCATTAAATGGAACGATGCTACCATTTTAGCAAACGATAAGTTTACTGTCTCTCGTAAAATGAGAGAATCTATTGAAATTTATAAACATCAAACTATCGTCCAAGAGGGAAAGCCACTTAATAGTACGTGGCGTGCTCTTTTCGGTGTCTCTTAGTCAAATACTTGTCTAGGGCGCGCGCATTGATTAGAACTTAATTAAATGAAACGGTTTAATTAATAGCGCGAGCAAACTAATCACGACTAACATGATATTTAAGTGACGCGCAAACGTGTATTCAAGTAATTGCACTGATGAAGGTCCGGGTTAACGGACCGAAAGCTTTGCAGTATTTAATACTTACGTGGTGTACCTACAAGTTATTATAATTACTAAAGTCGCCATGCAATCATACAAGAAAATTATACCGTTATACTTTACTAAAGTTAAGCCTGCAGGCTCATCAAAAATTCCAACCGGCCATGCACTATTTGCATGATAAACAATTATTGGATGAGGTTTTTGTGATATTCACAGTTATCAAGGTCGAGGTAAGCGTTATCCGAGACCTTGATAACTCTGCATATCACAAAAACCGAATTCAATAATTGTTTTATTATACATTTGAAGAATAGTAAACATAGTATGTTAGAATGAAAAACCTTATTTAATAGCAACATCCAAAAATACATCAATTATTAATATATAAATATATTCAAATGAATACCGCTTGTTAACCACCGCAGGCTCACTTGCAGATAACTCAGTTATCTGCTAGCAGATAACTGAATTTTGCGTGATTGCGCGATTTATCTGTCAACTATTAGCCAATCAAATTGCTTTTACTACTACTGTATAATGTATAATAATATATGTTAACCGTTTTCCACACGGCCTAAAATTTGTCCAGTGATTTTCTCATGCATATTTTCTGCGGTTTAGCGACAAATTGTCCAATCGGTTTTACAATCGGTTAATATAGAGAATAATAAAAAAGATATAGGCGAAGATATATAGATGCGGTTTATTGAGAATATTATCGAACGCGAGTGAGTGCAGCAAACGAGAGAGATACAAAAGAAGAAATAAATTTTATATTTTCAAGCATCCATGTATTTTTGTTTTTATTATACAATAAAAAACTGGGTTTTTTACTCTTATCTCCCAGGGCGCGTACGACGGCTTTCGATTGGTGGATCAAACACAATAATCGCACATGTGTTATTATCATGAATTATCTCTCACATCATGCATGTTTTATAATCGCTTTTGACATGATGGCATGGATTCGCCAATAAAACACTGCATATTATATAATAAAGCATATTATACTTTATTTTGTAGGTTTGTATGTTCAAAATACAGAAAGAGAGAGGATCTAGGTAATTATACATCTGCATGGTGCTCATCGGGCACGTTTTTGCAATATGTGGTGAATCATTTGCGGTACTGATTACTAGGGTCTAGTTTGCACGACACATTTTGGAATGCAACTACCAACTGAGTTTCGTTTTTATAAGTAAAATATACATCGAGTAACATGGAGTCTTTAGCTTATAACTAAGAATAATCCCAAAATTTCGACTACATAAGGATAAGTGGATAACAAAACATATAATCGAATTAAATAGTGCAGAATGAAGTATATTTCCTTGTTATATAGAGGTAATTTTGAGCGCACGAGGCCGCGTATAAGAGCTATGTTTTACAACTTTGGGAGAAAATTCATTCCAGAATGCTTTGTTAGTCAGTTTTGAAAATTTGATTTAAACTGTACCTAGAAAATGGCGCATATTCGTTGCCGTATAAAAAGGCTAATTGCATGGTTAGTTTGGCGACCTTAAAATAGTAGAGACAGAAGATTGTTACAACGTTCACTATTATAGTTTACTAGTTCATAGTTTACTATCTCAACCCACAAGCATTCTGTTAACTGAACAGAAATTACAAAAATTGCTTCTTTTATACCAGATCAAAATTCTTTACCGGTTGCTGAAGAGTTGCCAGAAATGCAAAACCTTTCTAACAACCAAGCAACTCCAACGGAATCTGAAATTTATGTTATACCAAGAATAGAACAAGAATACCTGTATAAAAACACTAACCATAGAATATCGCGGGCGCAATCCCAAGGTCCTGAGTACGAGAATCCAGAGAGGCCCAAATACGAATCTCCTGAAATCCACCCGAACCATCAATACGAGTATCCTTCTCTCGGCGCGACAGGAAAGAAAGATGTCGGTGTGAAGGAGGGCGAGTATTTTCCACTTAGAAGACCGCTATTTGAAAATAATGATGATGATCTGTCCGGTTATACATCTCTTTTGAAACTGAACAGTTCACAAGGTTAATAAAGTTCAAAGGGAGCAACGTAATTGTTTACAGTGCGTATTATTAAGCACTTTTGGGACCGTTATATAAACAGATATTAGGAAACTCGTTTTATTACATAGCTTTATACTGCCTGCCTGCATGGTCTTCTCGGATGACAAGAAGTATTTGTTATTACATGCATCTCCTCTAATGTGTATATTTGATATTTCCTGTTCTACATGCAGGCCAAGATCTAGAAGCAAATTTTAAACAAAATACAGACCCGCGCATACGTCATAAAGTTAACGTGTCTCTCACAACAGAACAATTCATTCATTGTTTTGTTTATTGTACGTGTTCAAATACTATAAGAACGGTTGTGTGAAACAAATGTACGATTGTTATGAACCGTGCGGTTAAAGTGATTACTGGTGCAAATTACGATGTCAGTCCCAGGCATGATATTGCAAAAATCAAATTTAGACACTCTTAATGTCAGGCGTGCTAAATTGAAGAGTGTTCTGTTGTATAAGGTCCTTAATGGACTTTCAGCTCCGGGCGTGACTAAAAATTTTATAAAACTCCGGGATTTGGAGGGCTACTACAATCTGCGAAATTATGACACTGATTTAAAATTACCAAAACCAAGAACCAATTTTTTAAAACGCAGTTTCAATTACAGTGCGTCAAGTATGTGGAATAATCTTCCGACAGAAGCAACAAAGGTTACCTCAGTTAGGCACTTAAATTCAAGCGTTTAATCTTAAGCCTTACATTTAATCTGTAATATAAAATTATTAATTAGTCTTTTATACATTTATCTCTATTCTTGTAAATATTGTACTATTTTCAATTTGTCTTTGTATTATTCACACGCCCCCCCTGGAAATCAACTATTATTATAAAGTTGAGGGGGGCTAGCGTGTTTTAAATAAAGTGATGATGATGATGAAAAAGATTATCAATATATTTAGTTTAATCACGTGGAAATAAATTTCACTCATGCATGCAGGCGAACATGTAATGCTTATAATGCCGTTTGTTTTTTAGCCATATTGCTATTTGTGGAACCGATATAATATTGAGGTTTTGAAGGCCTGCTGTTTCAATTTAGTGGTTTGACGTTGCCGAGGTGGCATTATTGCTATTTCTTGCAGTGCATGAATGCTTTAAAATTTCATATGACTATAACCATATAGTTCGTCTATATATAATTTATATTCGCATATATGTTTGAATGATATAGTTCTTGACGCATCATTCGTCTGTTATAGTAACTGGTATAGTATGGGGACTCCTAATTGTGCACTCTTTTGCCACAAAATATAATTTTTTGCAAATGATCAGACAAGATCAATGCACATAAACAATGTATGATTTACGCCTATTGGGCAGTTGAAACACTACACTGATTGAAAGCAAAACAAGTAAATATAATAAGTGTCGTCCTTTTTCACAGCTACCGTAACGTCCGTTGCGTATAAACACGACAATTGCAACTTAAATTTTGCAGCCACCATGGGCAGTCCAGGAATGCTTTGCGTGTGGCCTATATTGAGTATTTTCCACGCAGTGCACTTCTAGGCTATACCCACACAGCCACTGTAGGCAGAAAATCTAACAATACAAATATCAATACAAATATCCTGAAAACAAATATCAAAACGAACATAGAACAAGACTTTTTACAAACGAACAAACTTAAACGCCTCATGAACCTGCAATTGTAATTAAATATGCCGCAAGATAAATACAAAGCACTCTACAAGCATGAAATGAGAAAAAAATCATACGGCCCATCATAAAAGAATATAATTTGTTTCATATCCCTCTCAGATTAGCATCAGAATTTTCACATCCAATATCTGACGCCCATGGGTAGCACGTACTTTATGACCACTCCCCAATGCATATAACATTTGCGTTTTGCTTTCGAAAGACGAAAACAGGAAGTTCACTATACCGGAATCTGCCTTCTGTAACACCGCCAAAATGTCTAACTTCGCCATTCTCCGGCACTTCAATATATATTGTATAAGTTCATGTGCCTTCAGGTCATTCCCGGTCGACATCGTCTCAGTTATAAACATTTTATAATGAAGATAGCACGTCGCTTTTTGAGAAATGGGATACTTTTTAAAAATCTTTTACTTTTTGTTGTTTATGTTCAGACGAGTGCCTTGCCTGAAATTGTGCGTGGTGTACAAGACATAATCCGGTATGGTGAAAACTATCATAATATGGTAAATATTACAAATCTCGAAACTATGACATGTGATCATGAACAGAAAAGTTGCGGTTGCGGAAAAAAATATGGTTATAATACTGTCGTTTATAACACCGATGAGAAAATTGTAAAATGTATAAAAGACGAAGATGTAGCTGGTGATATAGTTGGCCATGGTAAGTAAATCATGTTTATTGCTCATTAATTTGTACTATTAAATTTTCTTCTTTTCACTGATGGGTAAATAAAAATAAAGTCCCAAATGATATAATAAAATATATTCAAATATTTATATCTGTCAACGAAAATCACTAACTTTTACATGTATCTAGCTACGATATTTTCCTACAAGCTTACCGCATAAGATATAACATGCAATATCAAGTTCCGTCTAGTAAATTTCAAAAATCAAAGAGTTTTGTTCCCACGACTTCGAAATTACATTTTCTTTCGTTTTCAAAACGATATACAGAGCCGGCGCCTGTGTTTAAAACGTGTCGTAAAATGTTTTACCTGCTGATCGTTAGTTATTGATGCATTTAGTCGACACGCGACAAGGTTAATAAGCGAAACTATGGACAGGACTTCGATCAAATCGATTATATAATTTATATTCAATTCAATCATTTACATTTAATTATTCTGATTAAAGTTCACTTAGCTAAATATATCATGCAGTTTCGGGATACATTTAGACACAAGTATAGAATATACAAGAATGTATATATTTATCTTGCTGGCTATACTGAACATATGTATAGAAATATTGATTATATATTCTAAGGGACTAATAATATTCATTATTTATTCTATAGCGCGATATACTTCAGGTAATCTGAAATGGCCGGAGAGGACTGGGGCTAGTTGTCAAATTAAAATACATTTCTCTTGAAATATCTCTTGAAATATACTTTATTTCGGTTTCAAATTTATGCCAGAACTATAGTTCTTATAACTAAACATAATCACAAAATTTTGACTAGTTTCTTAAAGAATAACAAAAGATCTAATTGATTACACACGGGAGAATGGACTTCTATTTCAACAAACGTTTTGAACGCTGATTGGCTAAAATATGAGCGCGTGACAACCTGGCTGTTATTACGAGTTTGAATCGTGTGGGAAAAACCTTCCGGATGCTCATGCAGTGAACTGTATGTTTACACTGGACTAATTGTGTTCCATCACCTATTGTGATTGGCGGGCGCTGCCTCGGCTGGATGTTGAAGTTAATTTAACGTCTGTTTTCTATGACCGTTGCTCTGATTATATGTAGTAAAAGAACTGTGTGTCGATTCCACTTACTCAAATGTTTGTTTCCTTGACAGATGGAAGCTATTTGAAAAACGGCGATGGAGAATGTTTAGGAGTAAAAAATCAGATCATTTCTACAACGAATTGTTCTAAGGATGATCTCTCTCAACGTTGGTTATGGACAGGATTCGGGAATATAATGAATTTGAAAGTTCATAAATGTTTGCGGTGGAACAATTCTACACAAAAACTCATTACAGAACAGTGCAATACAGCAAACATTGCCCAAATATGGAAGCAAAGCGACCGGGAACTTTTATCAAATGGCAGAACCCTTTACAATAATTTCACAGGGAGTGAGCAGTATCAAGGTATGGTTGTTATATTATGTAACTATGGGTGATAAAATTAGTGAAGAAGATATTTTAAGCGCTCTTAAGTAGCTTGCATGAGATTTAGCAGATCAAAATTTTAAAATTTAACAGCTATATAATTTTATATATCTAGCTCTATATATACCTAGGTTTTTATCGATTTCCCCGAGATGAACTGATGGCCATGGTGAAGAAAGGAAACTGTTTTTTTCACAACAAGAACTGTCACATCAACCTGACAATCAACGCACCAATTTTCCGGCATCCTGAGAAACCAGCGGCTTGCAATATCACATGGAATAGTTCCGTGTATTCGGTATGGGGTCAGAAGTGGAAGTCATTTTCGCCAACAAATTCTAAAAAGTTCATGTTGAAACCCATTGATACAGAAAGAATATCTTTAAATGTAAGTATTCTATATAGACTGATATGTCATATGTGACGTAGTTGACTCAGGATCTAACCAATCAAGAGTCGCAAAGACATCTTCTAATATCACAAACCAAATTGCTGTAAGACACCGTGTCAAACAATCACACACACACCTATCTCAATTGCAGCATTATACGAGCACAAAGGATCAGCAAAGGTAGTAACGTTACGATAGAGATCTGAACCTCATTCCTATATCTAATTATAGATAGCAAACGGCAAAAGATTTTTTAAAAAATGGTCAGGAACTTTGATTAGGCTTTCGATTAATTGCGTCATTGAAGAACACTGCGTGGTTTTGAAGATCGAAGGATCATGGGAAAAAGTGAGTACGACTGCATGCACCCACAGCCATTCAAGCATTAAATTTTATACGGCAAACGTGAAACACATATACGGCAAAGCTGAATTTCTAAATACATCAAAAATAGTCTATTGCTTTCTTACATTACTGTTAAACATCACGAGTTTAATGTAGAACGCTGGTATAATTTAACGAAATTGCAGCACACTCTAAGATAGTGGAGTTAAAACACGAAGTTTGTTTAATAGCGGTTTGTTAGCATAAAAAAGCCTAACAGCCTCAACAGCTGAGGGATGTTCAATTACGACTGCAATATATAGTTAAATAATACGTTCTCGTAACTCAGCCAAGTCAGTTACACATATTAAATTTAGTCATTCCTCTTTCCCTCTTTTGCAAATGTATTAATTTAGAAAACTAAGAAAATTTCGTCACCAACAACGCCAGCGTTTAATAGCAGAACAACCTCTTCCAACTCAGCATCCTCTCCTGATGGTTCACAATTGTCTTCGATGGTTTTTATTGTTCCTGTGGTTGTGCTCTTTTGTCTACTTATTGTAGCACTTGTTATTATAGTGTACTATCGACGGCGCATGAGAAGGTACGTACGCGAGCGATTATATTATACATACATAAAAAACTCTATAATTTATCACGTTAGCCTCAACAGCCAGCAGTTGGCTGATTTCCATGAAGGGCGTGAATTTAAGCTGAAAATATCTAAAATATTAGGGTAGGAATATATAAGGTATATATGGGAAAGAACAAAATACAGTATATAAGTAAGTACAGTAAAATACAGTATATATTTTGTACTTGGAACTCTTATTAGTCGTTATTAAAAACACTTTAATTAGATAATAAGGACATATAGCTGCATGGCACAAGGTGCTGACAATTGACAATTTCTGCTTGTCGTATTAAGTAAGTACAAATCGTAAAATTAATAAGTAGTATATATAAATTATATCAATTATTAACTGGATCAGTTGGCGCTTGGGAATTATAGTTCGTAATCTTGTATAATCTCGTAATTTAGTATTTTTGCACAAGTTAATATAACAAATCCTACATATTTATTGGTTATACTCTGCACCTTCAGGTGAATAACAAAACCGAAATTGCAAAATGGCGGCTAGACGTTTTGTGGACGTTTCTTACAAAGAGACAAGCGAACAAATGCAGTTCTTGGGTCAATTCACTTGTGCAAATATACTAAAACAATTTTCGTTTTGGTGAATATTCGCCGATAAACGCCGAGCTTAAGGCGAATAATTGTTAAATATTATGGAAACAGATGATATTCAGTTTAAAACTATACGTTACGATACTATGGTATGATGATATATGTATACGTTAAAACAATTCTAATTTCATAATTTTTATTAACATATTCTATTTAAGGTTAAAGTCAGAGCAGGATCGTCCCGTAAGCGAAGGTATGTGAACATTAGAATAATTTGCAGGAGATATATTTTTGAAAAAAAGTAAATTTAACAAATAATAGGAATGGTGTATATAATATAATTGGTGATATATGCATTTAACAAAATGTATTGTAAAAATAAAGCTTAAGATTGACTGAAAACATGTGACGGAAAAGCGAGCACTCAAAAATGTTGTCAGAGTCAGTCAGACAGCGTATCCTATAAAATTCCCGTATCGATGAGGGGATTTTAAAAATGTAAATGCATATAAATATATAAAACGTGCTCTCAAAATACAATGCAACCACATTCACGAGATCGCACTATAGATACCAATATCAATAAATATGAATAATATATTATATCAATTTCATTTTTCAGATTGCTCAGCAAATCCGCTCGCGTCTTATGAAGACCCTACTTTGCAGAAATACGATAGTCCCGGAATCACCATTCATGATGCGAATCATTACGAGAGGCCTACGGACATCCCCGACCAACCGATATCCCGCCAAAACGATCAAAACGACAACGAATTTCATTACGATTACGCAACACGCGAAGAAACCTCTGTACTTTCATTTGGTGTCGCCAAGCCTTGCCGGAAACAAAATTCCGATACCTGCCATTGCAGTCATACAGTTGATAATACGGAGCCACTGCAACCAAGTGAGAAACGCGACGATCAGGCTTCAGAGGATGACTCGTTCTGGGCTGATGATGATAATAAACCAGCCTACCAACAAGAACCACAGGAAAATCCAGACTCACATACAGCCGACAAACATATTTATCACACTTTAGAGGAAGACTCACCCGAGAATGATAATAGCTAGATCATGTAGGCAACACGATACCGCACGATAATCAAGACTCATGACTCATCCACAAGCAACAAACCTATCTCTAACACCTTAGAAGAACGTACACCCTAGATTCCTATTACAGGTGGAAATTGGAAAACAAGAATACCGAAGAGGAATAAAAAGAAAAACACACCAGACTCTATAATAGATGTGTGCAGGACAAGATAAATAGCAAAAGAATGAATTATTCATATTTCCACAAATGTATGCATGCATGTTCGCTTCTAACAAAATCTAAAAAGCTAAATAACACAGTAATTCTAGTTTCGCGTTGTTTTCAGTATGCATTTAAATAAGCAGTTTCATCTTCACGACTTCACAAATTTTCCAACAATTAGTTTATATATAGACATCACGGTCCGTAGGTAAATTAATGTCTATATAAACTTATTCCCCAATCAATTTTTTTGCCTACAAGGCACATTGTGACAAAGGGTAACTTTTATTTTCTAATTGCGATCATCTTTCCGATATTGGGTGTAAGAACTTTTAGTTCTGATACATTAGGATCATTCTGAAGCGGAAACGGATTTACGTGTCATGTAAAAGGAAATCCGATAAAAACCTTGACAACTCAATATATTCATATAATATTTTATTCGACAGCCTCGTGCCCAGGCGCTTTAATGTAAAATATATAACGTTGCAATCAGGTATTGTATGGAGGTCAGCTGAAAGAAGCAAGCGCACAGGGGTGCTTGGGGTGGTTTTTGTTTAGCGAGGAAGCCAAAACCACCCAAAGCATTAAGCACCCCCGCACGCTCGCGTTTTTTTCAGCTGACCTCTATGCAAAAACTGAATACAACATTATTTTTTTACTATTAATAAAGCGCCTGGGTACGAGGCTGTATCACTGAGCTATATAATAATTCCTGGAGGACCGGTTCGTCATTTTTCGGTAACTTCGCCGCCATCTTTTTGCACAAAAAAACATGGCGGATTTTGCCTTCTGCGCACTGCGCAGAAGTTTTGCTGACGCCATATGGTCCCTTTTGCCCAGGGTAATTACCACTGACCAGGCTCAAATCTGAGCCCGCTACGAGAGATGCTCCCCCCTGGTTTATCTAAACAACAGTATTTCCCCCCTGGTTTTTTATGAATATTTTTTTTGCCGTGAAACATGAATTGGAAACCTTGCTGTTTTGTATTTTTCGATTTATTTTTGTGCTACAAAGCGTTGCAATAAGGCGTTTATTTCAGTTCTATACAATCGTGGACGCTGTTTTGCGAATGCCAGAGAAAATATTAATATTAAAACGTAAAAAAAATTGTGGACGAAGGATTTTTATATACGATTAGCTGACAGGTTATTTTATTTATTTATTTATTTTCATTATTCATACATTTCTGTATAAAATTTTTGAAAATACTTGAATATTTTTCGAGTCTTGTCAGAAATTTGGATTATCTTTCGGATATCAATCGCCGACTAAAGGTTACCGGCAGAAAATATGTTGTTATGTGATGTTTTCCTTAGAACATCATGCTTATGCATATCAGCCCATAACTCAAGGAAAAAAAGGCCAAACCTCATGCAAGATGCTGGGCAGCTGATTATATAGTAATAGTACTTCAAGTCATTTGCATAGGATATTTTCATTCAGGTCATTATAGCTAGCCTAAGTTACCCCTATCTTACTGTATCCCAAGTAATGCATTTTCCAATCATAATCATATTCCAGATAATGCAAGGAAAGGCTATGGTAAATAACAAAAATTTTATTATAGTACCAACTACCAAGAAGAATATGGTACTAGTTGTGCTATTAAACAAATGTCTCATGAATTCATGAAAATGCAACTGAGCCTATTCATTCCTCCATTAGTCTATAATCTATTAACCTTCAATTCCTGATTAGCCCCATGATAATATTCCTTTGAATGGTGGGGAGGGTAAAACTGTCCAGAAGTTGCTGCAAATTGAAAACAAACTGCTCAGTCAATGCATGTCTGTATAAATTTATTTTCCATTTAAATAACTATCTTAACTATGACTAACAAAGTCAACATGGTAAAATTAACAGTTTAATGTTCCAGTAATTTGCAAAAAAGCCATCCCCAAATTCAATAGCATCTTCATCCTAAAAAAGAGAGATCAGACCAAGTTTAACTGTACTCAATAAAGTACACCCAGAGGACAGAGCCAGAGGGGAATAAAAACCATTGCAAACTGATTAACAATCAAGCTTGTAGCTTGATCAACAAGGTGCAAGATGCCAAGAAGTCTATTAAGCCATGATTATTGACTTTGCATTTGACAAGGCAAACAAGATAACATACTAGACTTTTAACAACCACTGTTGAAATCTGACAGTAAAATATTTTGTATCAGCACTCACACAGTCATCATGTTTAATGTTTTAAATTCATCTAAAGGATCAATAGAGAGACTAATAGATTCACTGGGAGGATTGAATATTGATTCATCTTAATTGTTTGGCTGAAAATACTCATGAGTTGGCATTAAATATGAGTGAAAGCTCCAGTGCAAATGCCATAAGAGTTCTATTCAAAAGCCAAAACTGGCAAGACATAGCCAAAACTCAAAAGATCAGTTATTGATCCTTTTTCATAAAGTATAGTTTTTCATAGCGTAACTAAGTCATGTACCATTGATCAAAAAGGCTGCACTCTGCAGCATATTTGCCGTTTTTAACATTAATTTCAAAAGAAATAAACTGCAACAGACGCTTTGGTAGTTGTCTATACCAAAGGCGAAAAACGAAAATGTTGTGAAAACCGGCTTACCTGAGGTAAAAATTGATATCCCGATAGGTGAATTAGGCCATTCACAGCATCATATGTAGAGCGAAAAATCACTTCTCCATTTAACTTGTTGAACAGGGAAAAAGAGTCTTTTTAGATGAAACGCGGAGAAAATATATGCCGAAAACAATACCGAAAACCAAAAATATTTTCATAAAAATCGGGAGGGTGATGGACACGTTTTTGACTTTGTATCGCGGTATGTCAGTGGTAATTACCATGGGCAAAGGGGACCATGTGGCGTCAGCAAAGCTGAAAATCCGCCATCTTTTTCGTTACACTTTTTGGTGGCGAGCCGGTCCTCCAGGAATTATTATATAGCTCAGTGGGCTGTATATTCGACCATTGCATATCAAGATTAGACTAAAATGACTTAACCTAATTGGTCGGTTTTGTTGTTTTCATAAACTCATTGTCAAACCTATTCCTGTCATGGCGTTAGCAAAAATAATAAATCAATTCTAATCGTGCAGTTAATATGCAGTAAGTATTAACCAAAGTTAACAATTCACACGATGTCATCATACTTTGGACTTGCCGTCTTATGTCTTGTCTCAATAATCGAGGTCAGACTAGAAGCGGCTTTTGTTGTAACTCGAGGGCAAACAGATAAATTTACAAATGATAATCCCAGCTCGGTCAGTGAGTGTGCTGAATATTACGCGAGATGTCAGTCAGCTTCTTGCGAGGTCTGTGTATGTGATAAAGAAATCCCGACCTACGTGGCAAGCGAGAAGAGATGTATGAAAGACCATGAAATATCCCCTCAGTCGGGTATGTTATGCTTGAGATATTGGACTTAATCCCTAATACATATGCATGTTTATGTTCTGTCGACTGACTCCCGCGAGCACTTTTCACCGATTGCAACAGACTATTGATATTAGGGAACCTTAAGCATACAGGACGGCAAACGGGTCGAAACGAACTTCTTTAATTAAATTAATATTTTGTGCTAATGATATGTCTTTGTATATTATTAATTGTATAAATTTAATTGGGTTATACCGTTATAAGACTTTTGATAACATTAGATTTGTGTTTGGGAAGAATTCTATGGATCACAACTTGAGGTGGTGCTCGCTAGTTGCGTCTGATATACAACAAGACGTGAAAACCTGAGATTTTCCTCGAGATTTTCCGGTGTAAATATAGCGTGGACTAGGTCTAAAGCCCTCATGTTCATATCTTTTCAAAGACGCATTGTATTGATAGCTGCAACAGTCGTGAGTCGTCGTGTAATACAACCATCTTATACACATTCTTACTTGCATAGGGCCCTATTTGCATTGAACCGCGCCTGATTTATTGTTTTGGTGTCGGGTTACGAATAAGCAATATTTCTTTCACGCTAAAAAATTGAGTACTTGATATTAGGTAACCGCGATGTTCTGCAATTTTTGTGATTAACCATAGTAGTTGGTCCCATTATTGTGAAGAATCAACATTTGATCAAATTCGTTGGAATTCAAGACCAAAAGTTTCTAGCCAGGCAACATCCAAGACGAAGAAATAGGTGTTAAGATATATGTGACCTATTTCTGTTATTGAAAAAATCTAATGTCATTCTGTGTAGTTGCAGTAGAATTCAAATAACGGACTTGAGATAAAAATTGAATAATTGTCTGTCTGAAAACCGCACAGGATATATTAACAAATAACAAGTCATCACAAATTTTTGAATTTAAAATTTTCACAAAAAGAAATTTTCACATCTCTTCAGTTGCTCAATTCAAACACCATTTGGTTGGTATGTAGACTGGGATAATCACTTTAGTGTGAGCTTGTTACTATCTAACTCACATAGAACCACCTTAAAATAATCAGCATTTTATAATTTAGATCATTTTATCATTATAGTTCATCATTAATTTCCAACAATACCTGAAGAACTTCAGGGCGTGAAGTTGCACTCATCGGTATATTGGATTCTAATTTAAAGTGTTGTTTATTTTAACTTTACAAATTACAATGTATACATAACTTACAGTTTAATTCTTTAGATTATTTTGGATACAAACTGCACATACATTATTATATATGTAAACAAACTATGAGTATATGTAGTAACTTGTTTGAACTTAAATATTATTGTTATATTGCAACATATTATTGCACAGAATAATGCTGAATTATGTAAAGTGTAGGAACAGCAGAAAAATGGTAAAAATTTCCAATACTAAATACAAATGGCACAAAACAATTTACAGATAGGATCAAAGCATATAAGCTTTTGTCTAAGACTGTTACAGTATGAAGGAGTTTGAATGCATAAACAGTTTGAACATGAAAGTGTTTTAAGGTGAATTGACTATGGCTGTTAACAAATAGGTACCAAAAACCCAAATCCAGGATGAAAGTCCTGAATCAAAAGTGCCCACACCCTAAAACAGTACTGATGACATAGCTCTAAATTCTGAACCACAAAAACTTTTCTGTATTCTATATAGCTATTCTGAATGCAGTTATAGTGTTTAGCATGGTGGATTTTAGGAGTGGTTAACCGAGAGTGTCTAGATAACATAAGTTCAACAAGAAAATGACTTTGTTGGTGTGTATAATTTACTCATTCACTAGGCAAACAAAGTCATGTATTCTTGTTTGGTTTTTTTTATTGATAGGATAGGAAAAATGCTTATTTTAATTCAAATCAGGATGAAGTTCATGATGAATATTGTTTTGTTGTCTCATATAAGTCACATAACTATAATATAACACATCACATCTTACTTACCCCCCGCCAAAATATTGACATTTGCATGACAGCGTGCTTGAGTCTTGTTCACGAATTTTCTCTTCGATTTTTAACCAGATATTGTGTTACCATTCCAAATCTTGCCGTTCGCTGCCCGAGAAATGCCACTTTCTTTATTCCAAAATAAACAAAATTGAATGCATTGAAAAATTCATAATTTGGAAGAGTCAAATACGTTTATAGTACGATCTTTACAAAAAGAAGATAATGTAAAGATTCGATTTGCTCTCGTAGCTAATATTGACGCAAATATTTCATTATTTTGACATACAAACAGCCCGAGTTAAATTGGTTAGTGTGCTAAGCACACATTTTAGTGATTTTAAACGTTATACCATATACGTCCTTAAACTCCCCCCTGAAATCTCGCCTACGGCTGCCACGAGTTTTCATGAATATTGCGCAAGCCACATAGTACCTCTTGCAATAAATAGTTAATACATGCCTTCATAGCTGCACTGCCTGCACAAGTGGATTATATAACATTGAACAACTCAGATCACTATGATTAGGGAGTATGATATATTAATGGCTAACTATGAATTTCATCAGAGGGGTGTAGGAACACCATGAGCGGCACACGTACGCCCCCCCCCCCAAAAAAAAAATAAACAATGCAGTTTGAATACTTTTGATGCAGTATGAATGGTTTTTAAAGGCTTTCCGTGTCTGATTTGTATGCTAAACCCATTTTCTTTCTCTTTAGTGCCCAAATACAGCTCATTTTCTATATCCAGTGAATTTGGGCAATCTTACATAGCAGCAGAAAAAATCTCAAACAAACTGGATCGCGAGACCGAATATACAGGAAACCAAAATCAGTTATGGTTGTACACATCTTCAAAAAAACTACTGAACTTGAAAACACTGAAGTGTCTCGATTCTAGAAATCTTAAAAGGTTGGCTTTGCAGCCATGTTCGGTCAACCAGACAGAAAACCAAATGTGGTATTGCAACAGAAATTCACGAATGGTTTACCGTGTAAATAACGGAGTTAAGTTATATCTGGAATTTTCAGGCCATTTTCAGACGAGGTTTTACGACGATTCCACTAAATGGGTAGCAGATAAAGGAACTAGTGCCCAACGTCGATCAGTATGTGCTTTACCTGTCAAATACAGAGGTTTGTAAAATGTTATCGTGATACAGGTTTAAAAAGACGAATTCCCTGTGCAAACAAACAGTGCATGCCAGCGAAAGCTCTCGCATATATTTCAAATCAATCAATTCCTAAATCTTTTACCAAAAAGACAATTAATCTTTTTCTACAAACTCAAGCGTCTGTCGTTGAAAGAAGAAAGAATACGTCGACCTTTGGACTATACACAAACTGTCCTCCATGTTATAGATAGCTACGTGCATCCATATTTTCTATGTTTTTTCCCCATCTATAGTCTCACTTTCATTCTGAGATATCAGGGACCACGGAGAAGGGGTCTCTAAAAAACATTTTAAACTAGCTGCAGCTGGTGACTTTAATTGAACATTTTCAGTTCTGATACTTTCTGGCACGTTTCTCCGGGGTTTTATGTATTGGCTTATCATGCTGCATTTGGAAAAATCGTTATACGAAATAAAAAAACGGCCTAGTTTACAATAAGTAAAATGTTGAATATAGCCTTGTGCACCTTCTATCCATTCTCGGATACACCTTCAAATTCTAAAAATTGTTAACATGCTTCGCCCTAATCAACAGAGATTCTGCAGATTCTACCCTTGACCTACAATTCCGCTTGGCCACTTCAGCTATATAATGTCTGACTGAAATCATGTCATTTCCCTTCAAAGGATGTTACAGATTCACAAGCGGTTCCTTAGTCAAAAGATTGAGTGCTAAACCACAGTTAAATCCAGATAAATTCGAAGAGATGAAAATTTCAGCGCCTATTTTCAGACAAGAGAAGGCCAAAAATCCCACTTGCGTTCTGCTGTGGAATAATACTGTGTTCTCGGTGAATGATCAGCCTTGGACATCCGTGTCAGCGTATGAGAATAACTTTGACAATAAGGGAGTGACAGAGCCGTTGGGAGAAGTTGTATTTCGAGTGAGTATTAATGTGTTATATAGACTTGAATATATATTTGTAGTCTTTAAATTACCCTATTAGTTTAGCTCGACTCCATAGTTGTTCTTACAAAAAAAACATCATCACTGAAATGCTGCCTCGGATTTGAGGACGGGAAAAACCGTAAGCCTCTAGTATATATGTAGCTAATGGTCCTTACACTCTTCCCTCTCCCGGGGGGGAGCTATCCACAATTATAACACAATATAAAAGTATGGCGTATTTCTAGGACTCTGCAAGAGTGTGTGGGATTGTGTGGGATATACTTGCACGACATTTAATCAGTATTATTGATTTAGTAAATCTCACTTATATGGTAGTGACATATGCTAAAGCAGTTACTGAACACCGAGAGAGGGCAGATGAAATTACAAGACAATTAATCTATGTACGTGCTGTACCGAGTGCTTCTACAAAACCAAACCTCTAAAACATGTTGATAAATCAAATTTCAAATTTCTGTCGTGTTTATAGTTTAACGAGAAAGCAAAAACAATCTGGGCAGGTGCTCTGATGAAGCTTATGGTTCGTTGTATATATGAAGAGAACGCAAATGGGGAAACATATGAAGAACATTGTATTTTACTTAAGTTTGATGGAGTGTTTAATCAATCATCACGAAAGGTATGTGACATTGAATGAAAAGAAAATATTGTCAACAAGGCACTGATTCTGAATGTAGTGACGAGATACTATAAAAGGCATGCATGCCAGTAGAAATAATTATTAGAGAAACGTTGTGATTTGGAAGTTGATTTTGAAGTGCATGGTAGATACCAGAAAGATTTCCTAGTGTTAATTTTTAGGAGATATCAAAATTTTGTAATATTGTTTGGACCCATATTTTCCTCTTGATTTGACTTATAAAGCGGTAGCCATTTTATGCAAAAATTATATAAAATTTGTGATCGTGAATAGTCTCCCCAAGGCTGACCAAAGACGTATGTTTACAAAGGTAGGCACTTCATGGCCTCCAAGCTTATCAAAGTCATCATCATCTGACTCAAGCTACAAAGCAAGTACTATTGGTCTGTCTGTCGTATTGGGTTTTCTACTTATCGCAATAGCTATCGCCGCTGTTGTATCGTACAAGAGGCGCAGCAGCAACACTAATGATTACACGAAGCCGATTTGTGACGCTGAAGACCTGTAAAAAGACATCGATTCAGACTCCAGTCGAGAAACACGTGATTAACTGTAACTCAATGGGATCATTTATGCATGCAGGGCGCAGTAAAACAGCTATAATACTGTATGGTAGGGGCAAGTGATGTTGGACTGACGTTCACACGCTATGCATGGCAGTACTGACAGTGGCTAGGTTTTATCATCGGTGGTAGATTAGTTAGGTTGATTAGGGTTGAATGGAAACCAATTTTTTAAAAGACATCTAACGAGCTCTAAATGGAACTTTTAATGCGTACATTAGTATAAGTTTTATAAATTTTAATCATATTAAAAAAAATTACATTCAAGCATTATACACTGGCGGTCAAAACGAACTGCTCAAAACAAGTTAAATTGCTCTGAGATGAACGTAACTGTCCCTCTAACAATATATACGAGTAAACATAGACTAGATTACATGCTAAGCTACATGAAATATTAATATTTTGTTGACCCTCCTTTGGCCTTATAATTGATGACGGCCTTACACCGGTGTGGCATACTTTCTGTTAAGGTGGTAATCGTCACGGCAAAAGAAATTCATCAATATCCTAGGGACAGTCTTTACAGCAACGCATAAATCATAGACGCTTTATGAATGAATTCCTTTCTTGCGCTATCCCCTGGACAATGTCCCACAGATTTTCAATTGGTTTAACGTCTTTTGACAGTGCAGGCCAATCCATTTCTGTCACTCCCTCTTCCTGAAACCATTGTTTGACTATATCTTGGAGGGGTGGCAGGTTGCATTACATTAATGAAATATTGCTCGGAATAAGAGAATTATCCAAAATGCCTTAGTATGAAGCTCTCTCCTATATTCGCTTCTTTTTTATGAATTTGTATCTAAAAAGTTCTTTTTGACTGCTAGTGTACACTAAAAGATTGATTGTTATGATTCCTGTTACATACGATATTAATAGCAACATTTGAGCAATTCTTTTTGACCGCCAGTGTACTACATGGTTTGTACCGTGTATACATGCATGAACTTTACCACATTTCCTTCAACATATATCCAAATTTGCAGTCGTGCAGTACGTAGATGACATGTGAATCGACTATTGAAGTATGAACATTGCATGGGGAAATCCACTCTCTTAAGGCGGTTTTTACGTCACCATTTTTTACATAATCTCGGGCCGGTTGTATAGCTATAAAAAGGTAGTTAGTGGCAGAATAGTTGGTGGCAGAATTGGCCAATCATGCAGAATAATATATTTTTTTAGTTAACTACCATTTATCTCCCTAAAATGTAGTTAAGAGTTTTATACAACCAGGCCCCTGCCGATAAAAATTTTTTAAGACAATATTTTGCCATTGAAGCGTTACAGTTTACAGCCGAGAATATCACAAACTAGAACCATGTAATCAACCCAAAGCCAAAGGAATCGTTCTAATTTGCAAATAAAGCACATATTAATGAAAAGCCATCGAAATGTTTTAATTTCAATTCAATTTCAATTCTTAATTAACACCAAGCTTTTTTATTTATATGCAGATATATATATATATTTAACACCAAGCTTTTTTATTTATATGCAGATGATATATATATATATATATATATATATATATATATTAATATATATATATATATATCATCATTCATATCGCCATTGCGATAAATTTTATGCTGGAAATTTCAAACGCACGCGCAAACATTAACAGTGCGCGTGAGCCGACCGTTAATCACGCAATCCAACGAACTGAATTTAATCGCCTGAAGATCGAGATAATCGTGAAACTCAGAGTAGCGATAGCTAAATAAATTCATTTTAAGACTTAATTTCATCTACTATATATATATATATATATATATATATACTATATAGTAGTGTACAGTCTCTACCACAAACGGAAATCTTTTTAAATTACCATTATTATATACATACATATATATATATATATATATATATATATATATATATATATATATATATATATATATATATATATATATATATATATATATATATATATATATATAGCAAATAATATGTTTTAGTAATCCTTATATATGAATTAGATTAGATCCTTGCAGACTAGCTTGGATCCCCAGTGCGCTCTCTTTACATCAGCGAAAATTCGTCTGTATATTGCCTTTCTATATCGTTCTACCATATTTTTTGAATGGACATCATGCAAACATATCATCAGATAAAACATCAATTATAGTGTCACTTTGGATACTTATCGTATTATTAACAAATAATTATAAACACATGTCTATCATAAGCATTGAATTATCTGAAGATGTGACCCGATGTGACGTACCTATATTGTAGCTCTTATCTCTAATTTTCTATTTCCATGCGAGCCTGACAGGAATGTCTATCAAATGCATCTATATGTAGTGCACATCTGACCTCGTCTGAAAACAACATTTTAGCAAAGATGTTCGCCAGCCCACCACGTCGGTCAGTTGCTTTATCAGAATCCTCTACAGCCGATGTGAACTGCTGAACTGCATGATTTAGAAAATGTTAAAATCGTTTGGGAGCTCATACTGTATTCTTGGAATCGGCTTAGTTGTGTTTAGCAAGGGCTACACTGACAGATCGCTTGACCTTATTCGTGGCAAATTCCGAGACAAGTTTGTCAATCCATTTTGTACGAATGGCAGTTGTGTGGTGGCCTCATGTGAGAAATACAACGCAGTGTGCGGTTCTAATGGTTGTAAATATTGCGTTTGTAATAAGGACAACCATAGCACCACCTATTTTCCTAGTAAGGAGGGCAATTACGGACAATGTATACAAGATTCAGTCTTGGCAAGAAATTCTGGTAGGTTGTTAAAAAGTATATATAATTCGACCGTTGTGATTGCAATCATCTGTTGCTACGGGCTGCAAATCTCCTGATTATAAGACTTTTAATGCACACGTGCATTGAAATGCCACCAAAATAATTCGTGGATAAATAAATATTTTGGGAACACAAATGCAACGAATTCGATTAGATGTACTAATCGACTAAACTCAACTAAACCTTCTATGTCATATTACGCAACGACACATCCCAGTGAATTTGAGCCAACAATGTGAGATAATGGTAATTTGAACTACATCAGTGGACCCAGATAGCTATGGCATATGGGTGAATGCTATATAATGATCACACATGCAGGACAACAATATAACTTTAGGTGGTGCTCCTTACCTCCAAAAGGTGGCTATGGTCGAAATCACGTGAAACAGGGGAGGGGGAGGGTTCAAGGTGTATTTATCAATATTGCTTGAAATAACCCTAGTGCATGGTAATCCAACGATTACACATCGGTTTGCTAGAGTGATTTAATAACGATGAGGTATACTTAGACGACGTTTGCAGTCATTTAGAGACCCAGTTAATGCATGTTTAATGTTTCCCAGTTATATACACCGACCATGCAGATTTTATTGCGTCTTTAAATATAATCAGTCGACTTCAGCCATTTTGAAACGATCTCAGTTACAAATCTAGTTACAGTGTTTTAACATTTTTCTGCAGGATGCTTTAATCAGTCCATCGGTGGAAAGGCAATGTATATTTTGAACACAAACATTGATAAACTTCATAATATTGAAAAAGTCAGAATCGGCTTCTATCCTTCGTCAAAAACACGATGTAAGCTTTGGTGGGCAGGTTCGTCGTTTTCAATCAATAACCAATACTGGAAACCAACAACAGATTTTATAAATGATTTCTCACTGTCCTTTAACGTTAGTGCAAATACACGAAGACCGTTATACGTGAAGGTATCTAAGAATTAAGGATGCTACTAGGTTCAATTTTGTGTCATTTTTATCATGGTAATGTTAACAATCTCGTTTAAATTGATTGAAAACCGCATTTCAGGTAAATATTCAGGCCTACAAACGTTGGACTGGAGCCGTACTGAAGCTGAAATTTCAATGCTACACTCAAGAAAACAATCAGCCTCGTCATAATGAAGACTTTTGCACAGTCTTTAAATTCACTGGATACTACAGAGCCTACCAGGTATTCAAAATTTTAAACATTCAGTTAGGAACACATCCGAATTCGTCTTCAATTAATCATTGAAGTTGTCATACATAAATCATAATACTTATGACTGTATGGAACCAATAATATAGAGCACGTGAAATGTCGATCGACGAACAACTCGTCACAAGGAGATTCTGAAAGTTAATATCATCAGCCTTGTTTTACACATCATTACAGTCAAATCAAGTCAAACCCATTATTGCAACAGCATTATCATGAATTACTTATATATATATATATATTTTATTATTTTGGCTGATGCAAGTGCCACGTACTAATTGCCAACTTCGCTAATTGCTGATGCAAGTGTATACTTACCTATTAAGCTATAATTCTGTTTAATAGTTTAACTATTTGATGGCAAATTTGTTGATTTCAACATACTTCCACGTCATTTTCGCTGTACTAAAAAACCGTTCTTAAGGCCGAAACACACCGCACGTGTTCCGCCAACGCGACGCGATTTTCATTTACGAATTTTTCAGTTTTTAAAAGCCGCTAATTCTGACAATGCTGTGACATTCTTGGCAATTACCGATTAATTGCATATTTTGACTGGTCTGGTAACCATAACTCGCAAAATGCTTTCAGAATTGAATCTATTTGCTTTTGAAAATGGAAAATTCGCGTCGCGTTAGCGAGTCCAGTCCAGTGTGTGTGGGCCTTTAGCAGTGGAAATATGCAAATGAAGTGAAATTGAGGGGGGGTGAGAACCTGATGAGAGTTTAATGATATTTATTGCAGCATTCTAGAAACGAGCAACATTGCCAGAACCCTGTGCGTTGTACGTGGCGGCTCTGTACTGACACACGCAAAATTTCGTGATTTCTTTCATATTACAAGTTGTCAACAGAACGTATCCTAACCCTAATTCTAATCCTAATCTGAACCGTTAGACTTGCAGGATGATTGCTCCAACAAATCAGTACATTCATTGTGTAATAATATTCTGGAAAATATTATATTTTCAATTTTTTCATTCTAAGTCTAACTTAAACAAGGCATTTTGACCGCGCGGAACGCAACGAAGACAGAATTTGATGAGATAATAATGAGAAGTTAATAAAGCTTATCACCTCTTTATCTACTGTCTCAATTTATTCGACGCGACAAAAATGCGACGACAAAACCAGGCTTTATCGAAGAAAATAAGTCTTGCGAAAACATACAACAGCCTGGCAATCTCTCTGATAATCGACGCAAGTGGTTACCAGCTTCCTCTTTATTTTCAGTTGTGTATTTTTTATATCTATAGATTGCGCCTGTTACTGTTGAAACACTGGTTTCCCCAAATACAACAAAAAACTCGACAGATGTATCGACATCAGGCCGTAAAACAATGCCAAGACCTGGTGATCAATACCTAGCGAGTACCATTGCTCTATCTGGTATTTTATCCTTAGTTTTCATGTTTCTTGGGTTTGGAATTTTTCTCTTATTGCGAAGTCAAAAGCGACACGACTCTGAGGAAGCTACGACGGAAACAGACTTAGGGACAACGCATCAAGAACATGAACTACAACTTCGAGTTTGAATCGAATCTTTACCAGAGACATGTCACATGAGAAAATTGCACCCTATTAATATTCTCGCAAGCGAGTGATTTATATCACAAAATTTAAAAAGAAGCACTATACTCTTCCAAATTAATTGTCACGCAACCCATTGCTATATACAAATTGCGTGGAAAATTGCACCGTGTAATACATGAACATGCAGCAGGATTTAATACTAATAATAATAGAAGAGCCCGAGCATTCTCACTGAAAAATGTAATGAACAAAATTTATATAAACAAAAAATTTTGAGAACGTTCTGTAACATCTTTCTTCGCGCTGCATGGTGTTAAATTTACATGCAAGTTAATGAAATAAGTTGGGTATATTTCTTGACCTTGCTTTTTGAGGCAGGAGTAATGATAAATGGTTTGATATTTTACATGCAATGTACAGACTGAACAAGCGAGGTCAATAGTCTGTTTGATTATCCAGCTGATCTGAGATCATGACGTCGATATAAGGCGTCTCGACAAAACTGAGTTATCATGCATGCGCCTGGTGTTATTTGTCCCTATATACTTCTAACTAATAGTATAAAGGACGAACATTTTAAATTCTATAATTTACAGTTGGCAAAAAATAAACGTGTTTTCGCAAAAATACAATAAAATTACTTGATATTTTCGAGGTTCGAATTAAGTCATATGTAATGAAGGAAATGATAATTGAGTTTTGTCGAAGATTTGCTTCTGATTGGTTGATTTTTATACCCAGATCAACTGGATATGGCTAAACTGCATGAGACACCGGGATACTGGTCTATAAATACGGCCAGAGTAATAAAAATTATATATACGGACCACGGTCCGGATATGGGTTTTACGGCCCGCTCGTCACTGACCAATCAGAATAGAGGATTTTGAGAAGCAATATATAATAAAACATTTTATTGCATCGAAATAATCGCGAGAAACATGGAGGATAATACAGTGAAACACAAAACAGTAACATTTTCTGCTTAATATATATTTACCACTTTACAATATTTTTTAGCATTAATAACAATACGAGCAACGGTGTATACATAAAACTAAAACGATGATATCATCGCGTCAAATCTAATGATTAAATCATATAGCATTACTTTTTATATTCTTTTTGTCACCCATGTTAGTGCAACAACGCAACTGCTAAACTATAAAATAGCATGCACCACTTAATATAAATCGCTACCATTACGAATTAACCGTTGAAACTTTACAATTTTTTCAGACCTGAGTATATTGCACCTCGGAAATTTTTATTAACTGATGAGTGATGTCACACAGTATTACAGTGTTACACACACAGTATTATATCACTCAGGACCGTTAGTATGTCCTTATAATGTAATTCATACACTACCATACAGAATTATCTAAATACGTTTTTTTCGGCTTGCCGCTGTTGCTATAAGGTTCGCGGTTTAATCTGGCTCAAACCGGCCTTTTTTATTTGTCGCATTTGATATTCTACGCTTCTACTTTGATACCTCGCTTCTTTATTTCAGAAATTAAAGTTTCGTATTTCTTCCTCCACTCATCTCGTTGCAGTTTAGCCAGATGTAATTCAAAGCCAGTACCGGCAAGTTCTTTTTCTAAATGAGAGTTGTTTTCTTGTAAACTTGTAGTTTCATCAATTTTTTTCTCTCGACATGATCGGGCGTAGCCACGATTCTTTAAAGTTCTACGTCGATGTTTTATTTCATTAACGATTTTCTTCGGTAAATATTTTACTCTTAAATTTAGTTCCTTTGTATCAAGAGCTATTAACTCTTCATCGTCAAAATACGCGTTGGGATTAACCGGGGAAAGAGATGGTACTTCGGCAGCGGGGCTTGACGTCGAATTCTCACCGAACGAGGTTTGTGCACTTCGACGACTTCTTGACTTCGTGTCGGATCGACCCCTACGGCGTCTTCCGACAGTACATAGCGACGCGTCTTTGGTTTTTGTCGAAATAGCCGACTCTGAATTCTTGGTATTGAATTCGGAAACGTTTAATTTTGGTTTTTTATTTTTATGTTTCTGTTCCATTTCGGGAGGCCTTCGCCTTTTTACTTCGCCGAAATGAGTTCTTTCGATTGAAGTTTTACCTTCGACTCCTTTGAGCACATTTTCATCAATTTTGTGAAATTTCTCTACGAAAGAGTCTATCTCGTCACTGTTTGTCAAAGATTCAGTTACTTTTTGGTTTGGGGTACAAACGCCCTCCTTTAAAGCGAGGTCAAGCGAGTTCGTAAAAGCGAAGTCCGGGTCGTCTGCAATAACCTGTGCATCATTTACAGTGCTTGCTTGATTGTGAGGAAAGACAGGACGGTGTTCTGGCGGTTGGGCAAACGTATCTGGTTGCAACCAGTTATCCAGACATAAATCCTCGCTGCCGCTTTTACTTGGAAGCCCCTCACTTGAAATTTCTTCGCTGACGCATTCTAGCTCTTCCTTGTTACCAAACAAAATATCACCCATCCAATTCGATGTTGGATTTTGGAAAGCCGTTTCGTTGTTTTCAATGTTATTATTAATCTCTTCTTCTCGTGTCTGCGATTCTTTGTTATAACTCTCGAAGCTCGATTCAAAGCTAAATTCGTTGTCCATGAAGTCAAAATTTAGGCTCTGTACATCTTCCATCGTTTCTAAGCAGTAACCCAAGTGTTTTAACCGCCACCAAACGTTTTCAGATGAATGAAATGCTATTTTAACACTGTTTTATAATGCTTTAATTTTGTTGTTCACACAACGCTGTACAGAAGGGAAATACTCTTTTCCCTTTTGTGTCAGTCGCCTTATGTAAGTCCTCATCATGTGATAGTCTAAGTAACATCTTTAACCAATCAGCGATCAAGACCACTTGCATATATCCAACACAAACTCCATGACGCAACACTGATGTATTACTGAATGAAAACATACAGCAATGAATGAATTCTACTATATCTTTCTTCATTTTTATACAAGGTGGACATTACAATAAAAATTTCCACTCTTTCAATATGGGAGCAACCGAAATATAGACATTAGACGTTTAAATGTGAGGCTTCATCAGGGTTTTGGAAAATTGTTTATATACCAAGAATTCATCTTACTGGCATTGGCATTACATGCATGCAATATACACCCATATATAAACCATATCTCCCTAGAACGACGTAGATATAAACTGTACATCAAAGAGGTTTTTGTGATTTATGCAGGATGAGCGTTTCATCTTAGTAAGACCGATAGGCGATAGCAAGTTTGCTTGATAAATGCGACAAGTATTGCAATTATTTCCTTTTAAATTCTTGAGAAGTAATTTATGCATATTAAATGCAAGGGATTTCCCCGGTGTGATATACTTGTTGTTTTCCCCGTTCCTAGTAACAGTATTATATTACACCCGATACAAACATATAATCTAAGCAATATTCATATAATCTTTTACACGAAGTATATCTGAATAAATAAACAGGAATCATTTCTCTAACAATTCGTTCATTTTACTTACTAAAATTCGGTAATGAAACGTAAATTTTAGACGTCCAGAGACTAACAGCAATGTCAACCTGTCACTTTGCAAAGCAACCATGCACATACAATGGAAAGGGAATTTGACTGGGCCAAAGGGAATTCCCTTTTCTTAATGAAAAATTCCCATCTACAAATACTGAAACGTGACAAAAATTTTCGAAAAATAAGTATACACGATAGTAACATTTCTGCTTGCGATGGTTTTACCAAAATTATCACGTAACACACCAAGTTTAAGTCGTTCAACAGATTTGCAGCCGTAACAACCCGTCGCTTTCTAACAACTAACCACTCAATTAGAATAAAAAGGGAATTTCATAGAGTCCAAGGGAATTCCCATGTTCCCATAAAAAATTCCCGTATTTTTGGCGCCGAAACATGACACAGCGTTCCAAAGTCCTCCAGTGGGTGGAAATTCGAATTTTTTGAGTGAAAATTGTTATTGAAATGTGTTGTTAGTCGTTGCATTATTTGTGTATTATATTCATCGTTTTAGTATGAATTTGAATAAGAATTATTGAAACAAAAATTTCGACTCAGTTCAAGTGTATTTACGGCAACATAGATTACAGAAGGACTCAAACAGTATTTGTATTCTTGGGTCAATATGCCGGTATAATAAAGTTTTTAGCTACATAATTCGTAAAATATCCCACCGTTGTCTGATTGCAAGATTTCAAATTAAGGAAAGAGATCACACATTTGTTTCCGGACTGAACGGGAAGCCTTTGCCACCAAATCTCATATTTCATGGGGTTGTTAAGGAAATGGTTCCGAATTGTAAAGGGGAAAAAGAACTAATTAACCAAAATAGAGTTAACCACAAACTAACACAAACTGGTTTGTACGCTTACCAGTGGTTGAGAATAAATTATTAAAAATTGTTTTTGATAATATTTCATCTTTATATACATTAAAACGAGCCAATTTTTTTCGCTGTTCGAAAATCCAAGAACCCGCTCGGAGTCCCCGATTTCATTTTTAAGTAACTATGCACTGATAGAAACAATTGATAGATAATGAATAGTTTTTCTAACATGATGAATGAGCATTTCAAACTCGGGGCTTTGACCTCCGTATAAACGCAAGAAATGGAATTACGGTAAGACGAATCATGTTCATCATCAAGACTAGCACAAGATTGCCGTCTAGATAAGCTCGTCCACCCGGGTTCCTGGGATGGCCATAAGGAAAATCATTAAGTCAGTCCACTGGTATAGTTATATTTATTATTATTTATCCAGAGGGACTGGGAAAAAATTATGTTGTACAGAGAAATCACTGGCGCACGCTCAAATTAGACGCATGCATGTATCAATCATATATATATTGTAACATTCAAGATCCGTCGCCAACAAAACACATTTATATATTTTAATTTATTCCTTGGAGATGATTATGGCTAAACCTGTGTAGCGCGTTGTATGGATTAGGCCTAGGTTATACGTCACATTTTGATCGCGTCGAATGCAATTCAAACAATAGGTAATGAGATGATAATAAAGCTTAATGAGGTTTATCAGCTCATTATCTATTGTTTGAATTGCATTCGACGCGACCAAAATGCGATGTATAACTATGATATAACCTATGGGCCTTACGTCGTTAGGAAAAAATCGCGAAAACCTTACAATGTACGCACGCGCCAACAGCTGTATACATTTGAATTTACTGCTTAAAAACTTAATTAGCGATATTTTATATACAAGCTGTTATTATAACTGATTTATTTTAATGATGAAAATGAATAAGCTGCAAACTATTATTATTGTATTTGCACAAATTAAATAAAATAAAAAAAGCAACTCAATCAGTTTTTAAATTGTTAATTATATTGGCAAATATTAAGGTTATACAAGTGCAAGGACTTTGCATATTTAAGAAATCACAAGAAATTTCGATACCATATATAAGTTTCGAGTACTTCCCGTTTAAGGCTGATATCGAGCGGTGTCGATACCAAATAAACGGTAATCACTACCAGTCAGCCTATATACCCTTACCCTGCTGCGTCATATTTGGGACCTTCGTAAAGAATTCATTCATCCTGTTGGCTGGCTTCATTATTAGAGAGCGGCAACTTGCTTGCAATCAAACGCTGTTTTGTTGTTTATGACATACGTCAAATGGCTTACAAAACATTTTTTGTTCAGTGCTGTCTATGTATTTTAATTGTTTGTCCAAGCGGGATTACAACAACATCTATCATCATCAATCGAGAAAAACACGACAAATTTTTCCTTCAAAACTTGACACATTTGGAAAGTCAAAAATCTAAGCAAAGTCCGGAAAATCTGTGTAAGAGTTTCAAAGCTGAATGTAAAAATGACGAATGTGAATCTTGCCAATGTAGTGAAGAGGATAGAAACACACTTCTGCTGTTAACTCCTACCACAGGCAATTGTACTAAAGACCAAGATATTATACCTGAGTCAGGTAAGGAAGTTTATTTGTTAGTATTGCTCTTTACTGAACTTATATAATATTTATTATTTATGGTATTACGCTTAATTAATAAAAATTGTATAGTCTATAGTCTATAGACAGGTTTTGAACAAAATGCACATGTATATAGTTAAATTAAACATAAATTTTACCGGCGGAAAGGCTCAAAATTGGTCGGTGAGCGGTGATTATAGATGATACTTTTCGGAAATCCACAATTGTTAAAACAGAGACAAGCTGATTCAAAGTTGAAAGTTTCAACATTTTAGTAACCAATGGGAACTATACATGGTTGATTATGATGCCATCTTTCAGTATGTGAAATATTGTGACCTAAATAAAACAAAATTACCTATCAATGTAAAAAATTCAATACAAGACCAATTTGAATGATATCAATATGCGAGACTATAGGCCATGCGCTGTCTGTATTTATGACAGACATACTTTCGAATTCTCTGTCAAAGTGTCTGTCAAGTAGTGATTAAGGACTTTAGCTATTCCATGCACCGTAATATTGATCTGTTACAGATGCTTTAGACTTGGATGTATTTATGCTTATACTTGTAGAAATTTGATGGTATATTTCGAAGCCTATATAGACAATGCAATGAATAGCATATTTTTCAATTCAATTGTGGACCAAAGTTAATATATATGTGGTTAGACAAAGATTCTTTGCTGCATAAAAAATATCGTATTATACGCAATCCAACTTATACGTGATGCGGATACGTAAATCGGGTTGCGTTTACAATATACCAAGGCGAGTAGAAATATGCATCACCTTCTAGGTAATAAGCCTACGCCTATAAGGACATTTGATGATTTACCTTGTTTGGTAAAGGCGGAGGAAAAAAGAGATATAGTAGTCAGGAAAGGGAGAGCCGTGAATGCACAGGCCAAGCATGCAAGATAAACTCTAAGACTAAGGCAAACCCCATGCAAGATAAACTCTAAGACTAATGCACAGGCCAAGCAAGATAAACTCTAAGACTAAGGCAATACACAAGTTATTATGAGTTACGTTGTACAATAAGTCGTAAAAAAATGAGTTTGGATTTTTGAACGAAAGTACATGCATGACAGAGGTGCGAGAAATAATAATATGACATAATTCGTCGTAATTCATAAGTCGTATTTTTTTTAATTTGTTGTGAATCGGTTTTCATATATTGCATGATAACGCATGACAACGAATTACGACATGTTACGTGCGGCGAATTATTAGTGACATATGAAAACCAGCCTTTAATAATATATTTAGGCAACACAATGATGATTCCAATTTATATTAACATATTCTTAGTTTTTTCCCAAACATGTGCTCTCCCCTTTTCACTTTCATACTAACTCTCCTTACGAAGGGAAAGGCGATGCGCGGGATTCGAGGGTAAAACACGAGAGTTGAGAGTCGAAAGTGTGATCGAGAGTCGAGAAGTAGATAAAAAGTCGAGAGTTGTGTGGGAGACTGGCACTATTGATAACGTAATCATATGGGGTTTCAATCGCATGTGATGTCGGCAACATAATCGTAATTTGAGACGAGGGCAGTTAGACGAGAGTGTGTGTGATAGTTAGGTGTGATGTGAACAGCCCGTGCGCTGAGTGGGATTTTCTGTTACTTGCATAAATTTATAAAACCTTTGGGATTGTGTCGAAGATTAAATCTTGGCGAAGGCAGCATTCTCGACAGTTGAACAGAAAGTTGAGAGTCGAAAGTGTGATCGGGAAAGCTATAATTATTAAAACAAAATATAATTAGATCGAGTTTACAATTTAGTCTAAATCTTTTTCTTTTGCTATATTATATAAATCATTTTTTCCGTGTATTTATATTTATACTTATGGAAGTTTGGGAGAAGTCGAAAATCGAAATAATTTATAAATGTGGAAATCCACTGAATATTTCTCGTTCTCCCAAACCCCCACAAGTGTTCGGTGTCAGAAACACGTGATGGGGAATGTTTTCAATACCATATGGGTAAACTATAGTGTGCAATTATAAAAGGCATAATTAGCTAATTGCTCTTCTAATTTTTTTCTAGTGACCAATGAACATTTTCTGCTTTCAATGGAACGCGGTTCATCTTGTCTTACGGTAACTGGGAAACGCAATGAAAACGTATTTGGAACGGATTGCAACCCGTCTCTTAACATGCGCATGCGTTGGATATGGGTAAATGAAACGGGAAAAATTCAACTTATGAATGCTATGACACTGCAGTGTCTTGAGTTTGTTATACCTATGTCAGCATGTGACTCGTCTGATGGTACAGTTGAATATCCTGTAGTTATGAGGCAATGTGATAGAACCAATAGGCAACAGCATATATATGAAAAAGGTAATTATATATATACCAAAATGTGCGACGGAAATTGGAAATTTTACCTTGAAATCAATGAACACAGTAAGAAAGCAAAAAGTAAGAGAAGTAGCACGGGACAAGTTTGGAAAAACGAGTATGATCGTGGGCCTTTGAAAAGGAAAACAATTACTTACAACGGTCAGTATTGCACATGCGCTTATATCATAAATGTACGTGGAGGGGGTGCAGCAACATTTTTAGGTCCGTATACGCCTATATATGGCTATGATGACGTATCAGGAGTTATCTAAAAAGTATTCCATCCGGATCTTATAACAAAAATTATTAGACGACTTTAAAAGCCCTTTTAAATAATTAGCATAAATGACAAATTATTTTTTATTGGCCATATATGTCATGAAATATTTTTAATACCCAATAGTACCTTGATTGTTACCAGGTTGTTACCGTTTTTCAAACGAAACATTCATGCTTTATCTGGACAAAGACGTTTGCTCTACAAAGCCATGTACTCGCAATTTTTTTGCCCCAATCTTCTCTGAGAACTCGCAATGTAGCATTATATGGTCGAAATCTACTATCATGCGGAGTGATATGTGGCAGAAAGTTACGAATATGACAAACAAGAAACCGATTTTCATGAAAGGAGTTTCAAAGCATCTCAAAATGTTAAAGGTATATATAAGGAGTAATAGACCTTTTTCATAATGACGTCAAACGCGGAAAGTCTGATGTTACACGAAATTTGATTGGCTCGACAGTTTTGTGAAGCCAATTAAATTTCGTGTAACATCAGACTTCCCGCGTTTGACGTCATTATAAGAAAGGTCTATTATCTTGTACTACGAAGGGCATAAATATGATTTGTATTCGAAATATTGTAGCCTATATAAAAATCAAACATTTCGAAATTCTCGTTGTATTATTGTCGATTGTATTTTTATTGTCAGTTTTTCTGTTAAGATTCAACATTCGTACCGTTTGACATTTTTCTTTTGTCATGCACCTGGTTACTTATTTATTTGAACAGCAGCTTTGAACTCACAAAAAAGCATCATCAGACAACGACTATAGACGCTATTTTTTCATTTTGTAACGTGATGTAGACATGCAGTTGCATGTGTTATTTTAAATGAAACTTTCATGTACAAATGTTAAACTTCACTGAGTTCAAGAATTTGTTTCTACAATTATTTAGATCAGAGAAGAAGCATTCAACATCTTCAACGGTACATTGTTAAAGTTGGCGATTTCCTGTAAAAACAAAACCCACGAGTCAAAAAAGGAGGATCACTGCTTGCTTCTTAAGTTTAGGTTTAAAAAACAAGCCGATGTGAAGGAGGTAAGTTTTTATAAAATGCAGATCCATGCAGATCACCAGATGGTTTTCAACAGAAAGTTTTGTGGCGAAATCATTCATCTTTTTGTGTCGACCGCAAGGGCTCCAAGGCTTAGAAAATTGATTCCAACTGGGTTCGTCGTGCATGGGGCCGGGTGTTTTGCTGCGATTATGAAGTGCGTTATAAACTATATCTTAAACTACATCAATTCGAATTTATCCATGCAGGTCATTCTACAATAAAATATGCCACCATATACACATGCAGAGCCGGATACCGCGTGACTTCAAAATGTCCTGAAATCTTGCATGCAACGTAATTTTAGGATGACTTTTAGGTTGAATTTCACAATGGAATGTGAAGTTGTAGTTAAACTACCCGAAACGTAGTAAAATAAAAATTTTGAAGCCTCTCGTGTTGTACATCCTTGAGTAAATAATACTAAAAATATAAATAAATTAATTTCGGGGAAAAATAACCCGCGTTGTTTATATGATATCACATCTCAACTCGTATAGTTCCGTATATAAAGTCCCGTATATATATAAAGTCCCGTATATAACCTGTATAGTCCCTATAATTTATATATACTTTACGCTTAATGTATGCTACCGAGGGAAATAGTGAGTTATTTTTTCCCAAGAGTCTGAATGTTTCCCGAGACGAAGTAGTACATGTACATTAGGGCCGTTTGTTATATAGGAACAAAAACATACATCCTGTTACACAACAATTTCATTTCAAAAAAAAAACACTTTACTTTATTACGACAATATGCGGCAACAATTTTTCACTTGTGTTTCTCTGCATGGCGGGAAACATTGCATTTATTTCAAGTCATGTATGTGACTACGAATGAACCAATCACATTTAAAATACACAGCACCTATATATATATATATATATAACAAAATCGTTTAAAATCTGAACTTATGGCAGTTCTATTTTCTTTTTCGTAAATTAGTGGAAAATGAAAACAATATCAACGACAACAGCAAAAATAAGAGACACCACAGTGATATTATCGCCGACAACAGCAAAAGTGGGAGACACCACAGCGATATCAAAACATAAAGAGAGTACAGAAAGTAAAGAAAATTCATTCGTCACTATCGTTATTGCGGTCTCAGTCTCTGTGCTCATTATCGTTCTGGTGCTTGTCGCGGCCTACTTTTATCGAAAAAGGTATCTAATTATCACTCTATGCACAAGCTAGGATACTTGCTGTGTTGTAATTTGAAAAACAAAAAACTGAGTTAGACTTTAAAAAATCAGAGTGAACCATGCATGTGAAATTGTCTCTTTGGTGAAAAATGCGTGAATATATAAAGCAGGATAAGAAGTGCTTACAATAAAATCAATATATTAATTGTATAATGGGGAAGGTCACGGTGGATCCAAGGTACGAGTCAGAATGAATTACCAGCTTTAACTTGCAATCGCACAGGTAGATATTCATGTAAAAAAAATAATAACCAGTGGCGTTGTTATGAAGGTATTTTGAAATTTGAATTGGAAATTATAGGCCGTGGAATTTATTGACTTTCTCTGAATCCGTCACTGGCAGGTCGAGTTGTGTAAGAAACGTTCTTTTCCTGCTAAACATTTCTGTACGCCTTAATTACTTCGTGGTTTATGACTTTATATTGTGTTCGCCATAAGTTAAATCATCGTTATTTACAAAAAATCCTATCCGAAACATTTGTATATATTACACCTGTTTCCTCACAGCTTCATTATAACTGATTTAAATATTTTCCAGTTATATTTTGACATTTTCTGCGGTCAAAATGCAAATGGCAATATGCAGGAAAAAATGCCCAATTAGATGATGATTGCATGATTGTTATATAACAAAAAGAAATTTTAAGCTGATCGAACTTTGAGGAACCGCCCTCAAATTTACCAAATAAGTAGTCCAATCGGTTTATTATTATAATCTATATTTGTTCTCCTTTGAATAGGTTTGCAAAAGGTGAGAATTCAGGTAATTATATCCTTCACAGTTGATCCCGGGGTCTAGTTTACACGTCATATTTTGGTTTTCACGTTTTCATGCAGTTTGGGTCGCGTCAACTGTGTTTCGTTTTCATAATTAAACTAACAATATACAGGCTTATAGCCTAGACGTATACATATTGTTTCACGTTTTTCCTGTTGCACCCACGACGGCGGAAGATCGTTAAGTGGAGGGTACCAAGTACACTGTAAAAACAATCAATTTAACAAGGAACTACCATATAATAATGCGGAACGTGAATATATGAATATTAGCCCCTCCCCGTCACGTAACGATGCTCTACCGCAATTGTGGCCTTTCACCTAACAAACCGTTTTACTGAATTTCTTTAATCATATCAGGCAAACAATGGAATGATGTCTGTCATTGCAAGTAGTTAGGTAGCATATAAAGAGCTATATAATATACCATTGTTATTAGCTTTTCTGACGAGGACAAATATATAAATTCCGCCATAATGCGGATACTTTTTCAATTTTCACGCCTGTAAGCGCGGGGGCGCGTATAACAGGGACTTTAATGGGAGTAAACTCATTCCGCGAATGATTTTTTAGTTTTTCTGAGAAATTTATGAAAGCACTCAAAAAATTATCGACACGATGCGCCAAAAAAAGCACAAAGGATTTTAATAGCTAGGCTGGATTACATTCAACCCTAGTCAACTCTCTAATGTTGTACTCGCGTAGCAGAATTGAAAAATACTTCCTTTTATATAACAGATCAAAATTCTTCACCGGTTGTTGAAGAGTTGCCAGAAATGCGAAACCTTTCGAGCAACCAAGCAACTCCGACGGAATCTGAAATTCATGCTATGCCAAGGGCAGAACAAGAGTACCTGTATGAAAACACTAAACAAAGAATATCGTGTGCGCATTCCCAAGGTCCTGAGTACGAGCATTCAGACTGGAGCCCCAAATACGAATCTCCTGAAGTCCACCCGAACCGTCGATACGAGTATCCTTCTCTCGGTGCGACAGGAAAGAAAGATGTCGGGGTGAAGGACGGCGAGTATTTTCCACTTAGAAAGCCGCTATTTAAGAATGACGAAGATGATCTGCCCAGTTATACATCCCTTTTGAAAACTAAATAGTTCATAAAGTCACAAGGGAGCACAGTGATCGTTTACAGTGCGTATTAATAAGCAACCACTTTTTTGAAGCTTTTCATAATTAATTTAACACATCGTTTTACGATGTTTCAAACAGTCTAGTCTTCTTGAAAGGTATTAATAGGAATGAGTCTAGTCTTCTCGGAAGTCACGAATACTGAGAATGCAATCATATTTCCTCAACCGATAATTAATAGGTCTTTTATGAAGTTCGAGTATATTCATAGCGTGCATGAGTCCTGTTAAAATAGCGTAAAATAAAGTTTCGAAATTTATCCATGTCGGTTGTTTGAATCACTGTTTATAGTATAACGGCAAATTACTTTGAAATTGAAGAAAAATAATTCGGTGACAATTTTTGCTTTGTGGATACAGTGACAGATATACTAACAAGGAAAGTACTCCAAAGCCGGAATATTTGGTATCAGCTGGCCCACTTAATTTATGGGGGGGGGTATTCATTTCTTCATGTTCACATATCATAGGAACTAGCGTACAGAGGAAATCAGTCAGGTATAAGACGAATATATGAATGTGCACTCCCCAAAATTAAGCTTCTATAGCTACGACCCTATTTAATTGTCATTGAGGGTGGGGAGTTTCTCCTATGAATGTTTAATATGTTCTGCATCTTTCATGTACTTGCAACCCCCCAACACAACACAAAGGTTCTTTCATTGTTTTGTATATTATATGTGCTCAAATTCTAGGAATGGGTGTGTGAAGCAAAGTTTCCTTTAAAAATGCAACGAGGGAGGGAGGGTTTGTGTTAAAAGGATATGCATTCTTTCTAAAAGCTCTCTCGTTTGTTATTGTATCTCTCTATGAGGACAGTCATATGCAAATAAGTTTTGGAAGCCCAGCCTGCCCAGGTGTACATGAGACAAATCTACTTTCTAGTCAAACTTTGAAAAGTTACCAAATGAATATACTCGCGGTCTATCGCAGGCTGGAAATAATTTCAATCATAAAACCGAATAGAGTGGACTGGAATACAACTTTATACGACAAGTTACTTTGTAATATCACATCGGCAATTGCGACGGCAGCTAGGCTGTTTTAAGGTCTGTTCACACGATCCAATAGATTTGATTCACCTAATTCTGATGTATAGAATGTAATCTCGTTATTGATAAAGCGGTAATGCGTTATTGGTTTAAGGGTTCAAGACGCTTAACCTTAATATTAAGTGAAGCGCCACAATATTTGCTGCCCATATATGTTGCAAGTCAACTGATAACTAATGGGATCTGACAAAATTGGATAACCTTAACCTAGCTACCAAAACAACTGTGAAAGTAGAAAAATTGTAAACGTGGATATTGATATATTCATGCGGTGATTTATGCCATGAACTATATATGCATGTCACGGTTCTGGCATAACACTCAGTCACCCCGGAAGTTACATGTATAACACTAAATATAACCACATGATATACCACAGGATATGAACAGAAAAGCCTTTAGAGCTGTCATTGTTGTCACATTCGACGAATAACAAAGAAATATAGTTCATACACCTTGGCTTTACTTCGAGTCCTCATTATTGAAGAGTGGCGACCTTGTTACAATCAAATGCCTCAAATGCCGTTTTGTTTTTATACACACGTCGGTATGGCGTACGATATATTATTTGTTTGGTACTGTTTATACGTTGCAATTGTTTGTGCTAGCGGAAATACAACAGCAACGATTGAAATCAAACGAGGTAGATATGATAAATTTACTCCTCAAAACGTACATCTGGAAAGTCAAGGATCTAATCAAACAGCCGAAAATCTATGTAAGAGTTTTAAAGCTGAATGTGAAAATGATGAATGTAAATATTGCCAGTGTCGTGAAGAGGATAGGAGCACATTTCTGCTGGAAACTCCTACTACAGGCAATTGTACTAAAGATCAAGATATCATACGTGATTCAGGTGAGAATGTAAATGATTAATGTTGATATGTTTATAGTATTGCTATTTATGGAATGTAAATATTGAGGTATTGGAGAGTTTTATAGATTGGCATCTACAGTGTAACCCGCTGTTTCACTTTTGTGGTTAGCCTTTTAAGGTTGAACCATTTAAATATAATTATTATAAACCATTTCACTGTTATAAACAGAGTGTATTTAGCCATCAAACTTTGATATGCCGAAGCCAATATTCCCCCCCTTCAGTTATCGTTCGATTTACGCCACTGATATGAACAAGGTATAAAATTTCCTAAGCCAATCAATCATGACCTTTGATACCCTATATAAAACATTGAAACATTGCATAGGTAAACAAACAAGTAGAAATATGTATCGTCCTTTTTTACAGCTACTGCACAACGACCGTTGCGTCTAAATACGACATTTGCAAATAGCCTGGGGATGACGAATACCCACCATTTTGTGGGGTAATTTCAATTTTCTGAAATGAGTCAGTTAAAACAATTACAAGTATATGAAAAGCATTTTTGTCGAGTCAATACACCATTTGAAAAATAAATGCAGCCTAAAATAAAAGACAGCTGCGGTGACGCTCGCGAATTTGAAGAAAGTACCCTAAAAATGGCGGCATATTCGTCATCGTTAGAAAGGGTAGCCCTGCATGGGTATATATATACACCCATTTGCAAAAACGTTGTCCGCAGATAGATAGATAGATAGATAGATAGATACTCGAAGTCTAATTAGAATTGCATATGATTACATTTGCATGGGATTTCAATCATATTACACAACATATGCAATTCTAATTAGATTCGGGTATCTATCTATATCTATCTGCGGCCAACGTTTTTGCAAACGGGTGTATATATATATATATATATATATATATATATATATATATATATAATATATATTATATATAATATATATATATATTATATATATATATATATATATACAGGGTGTATCAAAAAAAATGTCCCAAATGTAAAATTTTCGTTTTTCATGGTATTTTGCAGAATTTGGGAAATTTTTGTCTTCCTAGAGATAGTTAGAACTTATCTGGTATACCTAGGCCAAGTTTGGTTTTTCATTAACAAAATTATGTTACCGGGGGGGTGGTTCATTTTCACTGATATTGAGAGGGCTTGCGCGCGAAAATGTGAAGCTGAAATTGAGATATTATTTAGCTGTCTAAAAGTAGGAAAGCTTTTTAACTGTCAAAGTTTCAGGAAAAATAATTCATACTGGGAGCAACGCGCGACCTCTAAAGGTGACAAATATTTCATTGCGCGCAGTGGATTAAATGCATCGTTGATTTTCGCGTGACCGATCTCATGCAAGGCTGTGCAAATGAATAAATTAAAGCGAGAAACTGAACACATAAACAAAGCGATTTATTCGTGATGTTAATCCTCAGCATGTCCACCATTTCATTCTAAGCTAACTGCGGCTCGTCTGAGCATAGTAAACACTGAACAGCAAACCATTTGTCTGTCCATTCGCCTAGACTTGCCGGTGTTAGCGTAGGCGATTTGCAAGAAAGAATTTCAAACGAAATGGAGAATTTGAGGCAGGACAGACAAGTGTGGTTCCGCCTTTCAGTGTTTACCATGCTCAGACGAGCCGCAGTTTGCTTAAACACCCTTTTACTCTTAATTTATATTAGTGTTATTAAATCTTGTTATTAAATCGCTTCGTATTTTTGTTCAACTTCTCGCTTTAATTTATTCATTTGCACAGCCTTGCATGAGATCGGTCACGCGAAAATCAACGATGCATTTAATCCACTGCGCGCAATGAAATATTTGTCACCTTTAGGGGTCGCGCGTTGCTCCCAGTATGCATTATTTTTCCTCAAACTTTGGCAGTTTATTAAAAAGCTTTCCTACTTTTAGACAGCTAAATAATATCTCAATTTGAGCTTCACATTTTCGCGCGCAAGCCCTCTCAATATCAGTGGAAAGGAACCACCCCCCCGGTAGCATAATTTTGTTAATGAAAAACCAAACTTGGCCTAGGTATACCAGATAAGTTCTAACTATCTCTAGGAAGACAAAAATTTGCCAAATTCTGCAAAATATCCTGAAAAATGAAAATTTTACATTTGGGACATTTTTTTTGATACACCCTGTATATATAAATATATATATTATATATAATATTATATATATATATATATATATATTATATATATATAATATATATATATATATATATATTTCATACACAAAATACCTAGGCTAACTATATAGTACAGCCAGTATGCAGAAAAACCAATTAACCAGATACATGCATGCATGCAACCCTGTTCACCGCGATATTAGGTAGTAATAGCAATATAGTGCTTTGGAGTTTGGAAAATTAAATTTACCTCTGGAAATAAAATAACTATATAATTAAGAGCCGGGCTTGTAAAGAACTGTCCCTTATCCTTTATATGAACTAGAGTGATAGGTTACATTCAATAATTCAATAACAAAGATGCAATCCCTATAATTTGAAACAAAACCATGTTGCTATAACGTTACAAAACTTACCACTTAGACTATGACAAAATACATAAATTAAATTGACCGAAACTAATAAAAAAATATAGTAAACTAATCTCTGATAATTTTCCTCGCTTCTTACATGCGAATTACGATTTAAAACTACTTTAACATGACAAAATACGGCAATATTTTTATAGTTTTTGATCAAAAATATTTCGTACGATGCGGGATGACAGTGGTCCCTGTATTCGTCATTGTTTTGAAATATTTTACATGATCCTATTGGTTGAAAAAAGTTCGTTCAAATACCTTACAGTTTGTTTATTTTTTCAACCAATAGGATCATGTAAAATATTTCAAAACAATGACGAATACAGGGACCACTGTCATCCCGCATCGTACGAAATATTTTTGATCAAAAACTATAAAAATATTGCCGTATTTTGTCATGTTAAAAGTAATTTTAAATCGTAATTCGCATGTAAGAAGCGAGGAAAATTATCAGAGATTAGTTTACTATATTTTTTTATTAGTTTCGGTCAATTTAATTTATGTACTTTGTCATAGTCTAAGTGGTAAGTTTCGTAACGTAAAAAAGAGCTTCCTACCTTATGTAATTATATAATACATTACATTGACAAATTGCCGAAAAATTCTTCGCGCGAAAAAATATCGCGCAATTTTGGGCCGCCCATGGTAATACGTCAGTATTATAATGACCTAAGCCGGTTGTATGAAAGCCGGATAGCGCTATTCACCGGATAGTGGTTTTTTCAGCCGTTCTAAAAATGCTTGAAGAGCAATAAAATTTCAGTGTTGGGACCAACAATTGTTGAAGAGGATCCTCGATTTAGGAATACTAAGATTTAATCAAACTTATACCCAAGAACGGGCGATTTTAAAGCTATTGAAAAAACCACTATCCGGTGGATAGCGCTATACGGCTTTCATACAACCGGCCCCGGTTGTTCGAAAGGCGTTTAGCTTAAACGGTGCATGGATAAGTTCAAAATAGAAAACAAAATTATCGATTTATTAAACAACCGAGCTGAAATATTCGATGTGAATAGTTCAATTTTCAATAGAAATACAAATCAAACGCATAAGATGCAAGTTCAGCCATATATACCCAAAATCTATTAGAGTATTTTAAAACTTTGGCGTATCCACCGTTTAAGCTAAACGCCTTTCGAACAACCGGCCCCAGAGCTTTATAAGGTCTCCGCCATACCATAAAATACGTGATATACTTATATTTATATTATATATAACGTTGATGTTTTAATTATACATATAATAATCTCTCACCTTCTAGTACCAAATGGAATTTTTTTTCTTCGAAATCAAAATTACGGTAAATGTCTTACTATAAATGGAAATCGCATTGAAAAACTTTTTGGAACGGATTGTAGCTCGTCTCTAAATATGCGTTGGATATGGTTAAATGAAACGGGAAAAATCCAACTTATGAATGTTATGTCACTCCAATGTCTTGAGTTTGTCAAGTCTTTGTCTACATGTTCGCATAATAGAACATTGGTTAAGCATTCAGTAGTTATGAAGCAATGTGATAGAACCAATCGAAAACAGCAAATCAAGACCTCTACACGTTATATATTTGCCAAAATGTGCGGCGGCCAAGCCAATTTTTACCTTGAAATCGACGAACATAGTAAGGGAGCAATAAGTAAGACACCCAGCTCGGGACAGACTTGGGAAAACAAGAATGGAGATCTGGACAGGAAAACAATTACTTACAGAGGTAAGTATTGTACGTGCTTATATGCAGGGTTTATAACGAAAAGCAGAGCACTCAATCTAATGTAATCTCAGTCTTATACATCCAATGAAGATTTATCTGTGAAAGTTGTGTCGATAATAAACCAAAGCAGGTCTTTCCCAGCCTCGTACCCAGCTACTTCAGAGGTGACTTTGAAAGCCACCTCAGCGCGTTCGCTTTTTCACATTTGAGCTGACTTCTATACACTAGCTGGATGTAACGTCATATGTTAATTTACTAGTAAAGTGCCTGGGAACGAGGCTGGGTCTTTCCACACGAGTCTGGGTCTTTCCAAACGCTATACGTATTAACACGATACGCACTCCCTTCAACACACACCCTCCGTAGACACGCTGAAGACGCCACTATATGGTACGCGAGTTAACACATTTGGTGGAAACATTTAGTTGGCGTACAAACTTCTGTCTCTTTAGCTCTGTCCTGACATAGCTTTGGTAACTCTTAATCATAGGATGATATATAAGGCCAATAACTGGAGGGTGTTTTAAAAAAGGTAGAGTGTGTTTTTAAAAAAGTAGACAGTTTTGGAATAGCCACAAAAATTGAGTTTGCATTGTTCTAAGGAAAATTTTTTATCCCAGATGTGTTACTTTGGCTCTTCTAATTCTTGAAACTATTTGATTACATTAGACACTGGTATCCAGACAGGGCGTCTGTCGTCGGCCGCGTCGTCAGCGCGCGTTGTCGCATCTTAGGCTCGCTAATTAGGGGGGGGGACGCGACTGATTTCCTTGTTAGCGATTGCTTTTATGGCTATATATGAAGATGCTCCTCTCCAATTAAGCTTTTAGGGAAAGCCCTCATTATTTTGAACCATCTTAAAAGTGAGTGCACAAAATAGTATGTTTTACGAGAAACAAATATTCTAAATATATATTCTGGTAATTTAGCATGCTTTTTTATTTTTTTTAAAACAATGTGTAGCTACGCCACGTTTATTTGTTAGCCGTATAATATAGCTATACCCGCCGTATATGAGCTGTTTCCTAACCTGATTGGCTGACACAGAGCTACTATCGGTATTAATTATATGTTATATAGCTCATATTCGGTGAGTAGTGACAAGAGCCAGTAATACAGTGAGAATTTGTGGTGAGGATTTCATAACAGTTTACACATTTCTTTATTACTCGGGCTACCTACCGTAGGTAGACCGAGTTGAAAATTGGGCTCGGTTTTTCCTTTTGCGTGACAAGTTCACGAAAATCACGCGTGGGCGGCGCGAAGTCTTCGAACGAATCGAAATCGTTCTAGGATCTTTCTCGCGCGGGTGTCACGAACATGCCATAACGCCAAAAATTAGGCGTTACAAGCTCAAGCGAGATAACTGTAGCCCGAGCAGGCCTCTTGTTATTATAAAGTTCCGGCTTTATTTTATAAAACAATAAAACCATTCGCTCTCGATCGTTACACAGGGTGTCTCAAAAAAGCGGACGCTATTGAATTCACCTATATATTGTTAGAATTTGAATGGCATATAGCACTATAAGTGGTCCAAATTGTCATTGAAAATGGACGCTGCCCAGCACTAAGCTGAACGCAAAGATGAATAATAAAAAATAACCTTGCGAAAATGATAATATTACAAATTAATCCTATGGCTATGACCAGTTCGGGAGAAAATGGTTCAACTGACCACAGAAGAACGAGTTTTTGCTGTTATAAATTATACGTTGACTATAAACAATCGGTTTATTGGGTTCAGGCCATTCAAAATTCAAACAAAAAGTGATTTCAACCGCGTCCATTTTCAGGAACACTCTGGAGCACTTATTGCATGTAGCGCTATATGCGATTCATATTCCCACAATGGGTTAATTCAATAGCGTCCACTTTTTTGAGGCACCCTGTATATGGCGGTTCGGCTTCGCCTCGTTTGCTATTCGCTCATAGTCTCATACATGATTCAAGCTCACGGTATAATTGTTACATATATTTGCCATGGACATTCTTTTTAACAATAATGTATAAATGCTTTGATGTGACTGGTATATATGAATTTACCCTGTATTTCTTTGAAACCGGATAAAGTCAGTCATGTAGGATGCAGAGTCAAGAAAATGTATAACTAATCGTGGGATAGTTGAAGGTGAATCAATTATGATTTTTGGTGCTTCGCCTGATGGAGATAAATTCTACATAGAGGTTAAAGGCGTCTTAATTTTGAGTGGAATTATACACACTTCAAATTCAAGCAAGGAACAGTTGATGAAAAAGAGTCAACTATAGGTCCTGTGGCAAGAGCATTGCACTGGCATCAACTGTTCCTGGCTTGAATTTTAAGTGCATGTGTATAATTCCACTCGAATTAAAACTCTTAACCCCTAGAACTCATGGGATAACTTAAATCATATATACGGTATAACGAGAGGTAATTTCGAAAATATGTGATGCTCCCGTTTCCAACTTCGAAACCGTAATTTGAATTCACGGAAATTGTCAATTTGACTTGATTATTTTGTAAAAAGATCTATGTTAATGCATGTGGTTCTGTCACAATTGTCAAACTTATGCAAATTTTCTTTTACTTTGTACGATTGCATGCGAAGGCCTAATGATTACTTATATATTTTTAAACATTTGAAATTAATTAGAACAGCTGGCTAGTATTTTATACAGCTTGTCGTGTTCTAAAGATGCAGTACATGTGAGAGATTCATTCAGAGTTTCATACTTCATCGTGCAAGTTAATAATTATTGCTATATCCATTTTGAGGTTGCTACCGTTTTTCAAATAAAAAGTTAATGCTTTATCTGGACAAAGACGATTGCTCTAAGCCATGTACTCGCAATTTTTCTGCTCCAATCTTCTCTGAGAACTCGCAATGTAGCATTATATGGTCGAAATCCACCATCATGCGGAGTGATATGATGTGGCAGAAAGTTACGAAAATGACAAACAAGAAACCGATTTCCATCAAAACCATTTCAAAAGACCTTAAAATGTTATTGGTAAGAATTAACATGTGAGAGAAACTTTGATAACTTATAATTTGTAACAGAGATTGAAATTGAACGCTGAATACGTGCAGTATAATGTTAGCTTATACAGTCAGTTATATGCAATCTTATAGACAGTTTACGAGATTTTTTATGAGTTAAAATCGATGAAAAAACACGCCCAGTTAATGAGGAGTCGGTTATAGTGTAAAACTGAGTGTCTAACATCTAAGTCATCTAAAAATTTGGATAAGGTGTGAATATAGTTTTCAAGTTCAATACTTTGTATCATGATTGGTAACCGTACTGGTAAAAGTATAGCCTGCACGGCACAATTAAGGCACATGATGTCGACTGTCATAACCCCTGTGCACAACTTAACTGATGGTTCGACATTCTGTTTGCATTTTTATTTGGTTGATACTGATTTATATCGTATTATATTTTAACATTGTAACTGAGCACAGCATGCAGTCATGACTACGTTATTCTGGCTACAATGGATACATGCAGTGTCTTCTGTCTTAGCCTCTCTATCACTTACCAAATACACCATAATATTTGCTTCCACAATTATTTAGATCAAAGAAGAAGCGTTCGACATATTTAACAACTCACTGTTGAAGTTGGAAATTTCCTGTGAAAACAAAACCAACGAGTCAAGCAAAGAGAATCACTGCTTGCTTCTTAAGTTTAGATCTCCGCCAAAAAAAGTGGGATCAACGGTGAGTTCGAATATTACAGATACATATCATATATACAAACATACAATTACATTATAATCGTGCATTTAACTCCCCATTAGAACTTTTCAGTAGCCCATCACCATGCAGACTTGGAAAAAAGTGGGATCTCGAGATTCTGGTTCCTGTGAAACATTCGTCTTTAGGCCCGTTTACACTTGCAATTTTTGCTGCGATTTTATGTGCGATTTTCCTCTTTTGATAAATTCACGTCACGTTCCTTACCCTTTATTATAAAAGTTTTATATAATTACTTATAACATATATATATAAGTAATTGTCGTCTATATTCCAGCTGATGCATGGGATTACGGGACATTGTATATTGTTATAACCAGGCGGTTTAGTGTTCTCATGCAATTGAGAAAACGTGGGTCGTACCCAATGTGGTCAATGCTCACCGGTTGCACTACCATATATATAGAGCAAAAATATTCATTATATTCACCTCCTGATATTTGACAGCCTGCTATTTGGGCGTTCACGTCACAGGCATGATTGGAAACAAAGGTTCCCTAGCTCGTATATGAAATGACCATGATGCTGTTTTCTTTTTAAAAACATGAAAGATGACTGCAATACCGTCAACAACAATACTAACAGCAAAAATGATAGACACCACAGAGATAGCATCAACGACAACAGCAAAAATGACAGACACCACAGAGATAGCATCAACAACAACAGCAAAAATGACAGACACCACAGAGATAGCATCAACGACAACAGCGAAAATGGCAGACGCCACAGAGATAGCATCAACGAAGCAACAGCGAAAATGGCAGACGCCACAGAGATAGCATCAACGACAACAGCAAAAATGGCAAGCACCACTGTGCCTGTGATATCAAACATAAAGAAACAAAGAAAATTCAGCAGTCACTATTGCTATCGCGGTCACAGTTCCTGTGCTCATAATCATTTTGGTACTTGTTGTAGCCTACTTTATCGAAAAAGGGTATGATTCAGTTACAATACTAACGATCACGACAGACTTAATAAAATACTATAGTATACCGTTATATCTAATATTTTTCTTGCCTCTCTCATCTTCACATTTCTTTATTATATTACATTCCTCACTATAAAGTCAGTCTAGGTTTTCACGATCTGTACGAAACTCTTCTCATACAAATTTACTAACATGTATATGCATTAGGGGGGAGAGGGAGGGGCAATTAAATTAACGTGTTATACGTTTTTAAATTTGAAAAAATATAGCAATATGCAATTCAAAATAGCAAATTACCTTGGTAAAAACCTTTGCATCCATGCTGATGGCACACGTGCATGCTGTGTGCACGAATTCTCATAGTTAATAATAAAGTAATATAACCATTGAAGCTCACGCAGTAGAAGCTCATGCAGTATCTTTTCATAGGCTAAAAACAAAAAAGGTCAACCAACAACCAAGTCCAAGGTATTTTTTACCTAAAATCTCAATTACCCTTTGGGCTTTTTGGAGTGTATATATAAGAAAGAAAGATTGTGATCGCAATTATGCTATATTATGTTGATTCTTTTTAGGAAACAATCCCAGCTATACCAGAGTCGTTTATGACGCTCCGAATATTTACACAACACCTGGCAAAGAAGGTAAACTGCATGCATTTAAATGACCGCATCTAAAACAGGTATAGCTATAAAGCATCGGGAAATACAAAATAACTATTAGATTTATAATAAATCATATATAGATGGAAAATACGTTTGTTGTTTTTCCTTTTTCTTTCCCATTTCCCAATGATGCATGGTTATACAGTGATTTATCGCGGTTTGGGGGATTGTTTACTTTGTCAGGACTGTCTAAGAAGTCAGATAAATGCCTCTTTAATACCATCATATGTTGTAAGTTTCAATGAAAGCCATAACATTAATTGAATTTATTATATGGCACGCGATCACGTGACTAAAATGGCGTGTGCTGATTGGTTCTTTGCCGGTCTGGAATCCCCCAGTATTAGACCGTATCATTTTTATTTAACGAGTAAAAAAAAGTTTTGGAAGCCACTGAACAGTGCTTGCTTGGCGACTGGCTGGCGAAAGAGCCGGCAAGAATGCTGCAGCGCATTGTATAAATAAATAAACTAAATAATCTATGCCATATAATAAATCCCTTATTAACCGAATACGTTCGGTCCGTACTGGAAAAATATCAGACCTCGGTCTTTTATGTACGGACCTCGCTTTTGCTCGATCCGTATACGTACTGTCAAGACCTCGGTCTGATATTTTTCTAGTACGGACCTCAAATTCGGTTAATAAGTGGTATATATTTCGTTATCTATAGAGTCGCCTGCCAGATATGAATATATCGATAATGCCATTGTAAACCCGAAGCCAACCCAGCCTGAACTGAAATACGACTACGCTACAAACACTGAAATACCGCGCACAACTCTGAATATGAAGCCTGAGGATGCTGCTGCCCAACCTGATCTACAGTATGACTACGCCAAGGACACTGAAATACCGCGCACAACTCTGAATATGAAGCCTGAGGATGCTGCTGCCCAACCTGATCTACAGTATGACTACGCCAAGGACACTGAAATACCGCGCACAACTCTGAATACGAAGCCTGGGGATGCTGCTGCCCAACCTGATCTACAGTATGACTACGCCAAGGACACTGAAATACCGAGGACAACTCTGAATGCGAAGCCTGGGGATGCTGCTGCCCAACCTGATCTACAGTATGACTACGCCAAGGACACTGAAATACCGCGCACAACTCCGAACACGAAACCTGGGGATGTTGCTGCCCAACCTGATCTACAGTATGACTACGCCAAGGACACTGAAATACCGAGGACAACTCTGAACACGAAGCCTGGGGATGCTGCTGCCCAACCTGATCTACAGTATGATTATGCGGCGAACACTGAAATTCCAGAACTTGATTCGAAGCCTGAGTCGGACACTCCTAATAATCCACTGTATCATTCACTTGAAGAACCCAGCCCACCCCCGACAGCTGTTTATGCGACATTAGAAGAGCCAACAGATGAAACAAAGCTGGTATGTATATTTAAAATTCAAAATCTCGCACTTTATGAAATAGTTTGTCAAGCTTATTAAATCAAGACCTTCCCAGCAGGTGCAATGACATTAAGACTAGCTGAGTGACGAAACCCGACAGTAGTTTATCAAACTTGATAGAAAAAGTCACTATACTTATAATCTGTAGCAGCATATTGACTTTAATAACCAAATATCAAACGAGCTAGCTGCATGCTACATTAATTCTTGCATGTGTATAAAAAATTGAGAAAGCTTTATTATAGGAAGTAGGTTGACAGAATTTTGACAAACCTAAAATACTTTGCTGTGCTTTTAGGCAACCTACGACACACCACACTCGGGCGATCCAGTGTAATATTTTTGATGATTTAAACGAGACAAGTTAACAGCCGTGAATTACACTACATTGTTTCCTTCTGCTAAAAATGGTTACCGTTTTTCGTGGAAAGTTTTCGCATGGGACATGAAATATCCTTTTATTCAAAAGGATTGATTTTTATAGGTTGTGCATGTCCTAGCTTTTGTAAATTATTTAAAGTAATAGCATTATAGCCATTGTAGTATAAGAGTCACTTCAATTTAAAGTCGAAGCATGGTACGGCGTTATACAAGATGAGTTCTGGTAATTGATCGAAATAATCGCCTCCCTACACTACAGGCAGTTCCTATGTATGCATGGACGTCTAGATGAACGGTGAATAACGGACTTATAGTTGTTAATTGCTTGTGATTTACACCATGTAAAATGCGTATACGTTTTCTGACGATCTTTTCTAATTCGATATCTATCCCTTATAAAATGATGCATATATTTACGTCAATATACTTTATTTGGTAGATATACAGCAATATACTTAACATTTATCATAAGTGTAAACTAGGGAAGTTTTTATATATCACAAATAGTCATAATAATTTTCTGTACATAAAGAAAATAACGAGTAAATATTTCAACCTCTCAGCTGGCGATCAATAAATAATAATGAATATTTAGGTGCTTTTTATATGATCTCGACTACCAGGGTCAGGGACGCCCTGTACCTCCCGAGACAACTTTACCAGGAAGTGATAGTGCCTATTCACTATTGCGCACGCGCAGGAAAGAAGGTTAGGTTTAAGGAATGGTTTAAGGTTACATGAATAATAGTTGTCCCTGCGCATGCCAACAGGGTTACCCTCTTTCGTAAACAGGGTGTTAGTGAGATAAGAATTCGTTAATTAAGAATTCGAAAGCATTTATTTTGCATTATATTATTCTAGAACTCCACAGGAAGTCCATGCAATCATGCATGCATGAAAAGGTTTAATCAGTATATACTTATTATAAAAAACACGTATTTAAGAGGTTCTGCTTTATATTGATATTATAGTCATTCTTAAAGCTGTGCTGTACTTTCGCCAGATCTTAGAAATCGCCGGTCGGCCTGTAGAAAATGTTTTATTACATTTTATGTTATTTGGTTGTTTGTCTGAGGATATGCGGAAGTGAGGGCAAAGATGACTTCGAAATAATTCGACGTAGACAAGATATATTTAAAAATTTTGATTGTCAATCCTTTACAAGTGAAGAATGTTCTTGTGAATATTACAACGCTGAGTGTGTTAACCTGACATCATGTGAATACTGTCGTTGTTCAGAGAGCCACAGCACTTTTATGGTGAGCAAAGATGGTCCAATCTTTGGAAATTGCACGAAAGATGAGAAAATAGTACCGACATCAGGTAGTTATACTTCGTTATTGCTGAACTACATGTGAAACATTATCGAGCTAAGATTTGAAAGCCAATTTTAAGCGATGGGGCAAGAAAAGCCGACATATTGTGAAATATCAATTATGGCCACCAACTTAGCCTTAGGCAAATGGACAAGCAACGCGCAACAAATCAGTCCATGTATGCATGGCCAGAAATACGCGACATTTACGCCCAAATACTTAGAGTGGGCACGCTAATCACCGGTCATTACGTATCATTACGACGCATGTTATATCAAATCACTCAAATTAGAGTAAGAAATTCCCTTTTCAAGGTGGTCCACTAGAAAAAAAATCATGCTGTTTTAAAAATTTAAATGTATCCCATACAAAAAACGCGAGAACTGAAACAAAAACTTTTATTAATTAGGGTTTTTTCCGGGCAAACAAAAGGGGTCGATTGACTTATTCTATTGTTTTATTGTTCTATTGTATTGTTCTCTATATAATTTATGATATATGCAAAACTTTTTTGTCGCTTTTCTTAGCAAACTAAAATTCTCATTCCCCTTACTTTCGTGCACGATAACTCAAAAAGTAAAGCTAACTTCATAAAATTTTCATGGTTGACTTTAAAGACAATTGGGTCGGAGGTGAACCTAAAAGTGGCGTATTCCGTTCACTCTAAGTAAATTAAATAGCGACTGTTTATTTTGGATAGATCGTGGAGGTTTTATATTTATAGCCTGTAAAACGTTTAATACTGGAAAAGTTTTATTTATTATAGGTTTAGCTCCGAGGCAAAAATATTTAGAAGTAAATAAAACCAATTCCGTCGTTCTAGAGTCAAAACCTAATCTGTTATCGTGTTTACAAAAATCGTCTATTTTCCAACATTTGGTGTGTGTGGTCTGCGTACTTTAGTGATTGAAGATTCGTACAAGTCGTTTTTCACTCAGAGCAACTTGGCTTGCAATATGGCATAAAAAATTGTACGAATTAGTATAATGAGATAATGAAAAATTTGCATGCCTGTTAAGCGGTGTAGTTTTGGATCATGCATGAGTATTACCTCAACTTTATATAATCCTAAATGTGACGATAACCCCGCCCTGACTATAAAAACCCTAGAGGGCTATAGATTGTGAATTAGCAATTACATTCGTGGATTCTGCATGAATATGCACTTGTTACCAGTCTGGCAAAATACTCATAATACCACGAAAAATTACACTTATATTGTGATTGATTTTTCTTTGCAGTACCAAATGAAGCATTTCAGCTGATTAACAGAAAACATGAAACCTGTGTAAAAATTGATCCGGCACACAATTATATATTTGGAGCAGATTGTTTTAATACCAAGTTAGATTCGAACAGATTGTTAACTGATATGCTTTGGATATTAACAGCTGGCAAAGAAAAACTGCAGCTCATAATGAATGTTAAAACACTCAAGTGCATTGAAGGTCATGGCGAAATGAGGAACCTGACCATGGAACAGTGTCAGAAGGGATCTGATAAGCAGAAAAATTTGTGTCGGTATTTCTGTTACCAGTGGGGCAGAAATTGTATAGGCATGACATTTTGGTGGAAAAAAATTGGTTTGTATTTACGTCTACCTAATCCCAAAGACTACGCTATCTCAGCTAGTTGGAATAGTAATTTTTGGAATACTCAGCTATGGTTGAAAACCGGCTCTTGCAAAACAGCAAAGGCCTACACAGGTACGAACTATGCTATATATATATATATATGTACTTTAATTGTATAGTTTATATATAAAAAAACTTATAGTTTAAAAAAACTGTCTATAAAAATATATATTAGCGTGCATATATAAATGTATAAATATGTATATATGTAGCTACATTATAAACAAATAATCAGCAGTATATCATTGATATAGACTATATATAAAGTAACAACTGTAGTCGTTCAGTGTCAAGCAGAGCATGCACAGACACACGTGCAAATATGCATGAACAAGACATGTCTTAATTGTGCACACAAGGAAGGCTTGGCAGCTTAGGACAGCTTTCTATACGTTGGGTCATGCGTGTCGGTGTGATTTTTCAATGCTGCATTAGCTACCAAAAAATTGTCACCCCCGTGTGTGACAGATTCTCAAACTTACAGGTTTGAGATGGATTTCATTTATTTGATGACAGATTATCTTAATTATTAATATGTACAAATTTCATTCGTGCATGTTCACCCTTAATTTGTAAATTGTACATATTCGCAGCCTGAACCGTGCATGCCATGCCAATAAATTAAAACCTGGTGTAAACGGCGTAGACGTGGTGTATTTGAGGTACCACCACATTGACCGGGCTCGCTATGGTTTTTCTGTGCATGGCTGTTTCCCGGCGTCACCCATAAAAACGGGCAGAAAACTTTCACTTCAGCCCTTATGCACAGGACCTTCTAGACTTCTACAAAAACTGCAGTTAACCTTGACGACGAACTAATCAACTAAATATATCGGATTTTCAAATTAAAATTTTTTTTGCATTTTAAGTGTAAACGACTTTTGTATATGGTGTTGTAAATTTGACTGACTTTCCTGACAACCTTGTCATAGAGGCAGCCAAAAATTGCGTGATAATTTGAAAGCGAGAAATTTTTTGGCAATTTCTCAGTTTACTCCTCAGACATAATGATCTCATGCATCCTTGATCTCATGCATGGACCGATGGATGATCTCACAGAGCCTGTCCAAACGGTTTCTGGTTTTTTATCGTTTTGTGTTTTTGAGAATACAATAGAACAAATTACACTCCTATATATATGAAAGCAAACATTCTGAACTCAACCTGCAGGTAATTGATGGTAGCTGTGACGGCGAATCAAATCAAAATCATGCATCTCCAAGTCCCTTCCGTTACTGACTATATTTTTATATGTCCTAATTTGTCATTTGAACTTTCAATAGGGTGTTACCGTTTTTCCGATGGCTCTTTTATGAAATACCTGAATTATAGCGAACCGAATTTTAAACTACAGATTTCAGCTCCAATTTTCAGAGAAAACGATAGGAATTGCAAAGTAGACGACATGTTTGAATGCATCCGAGATGGCTGGAACTGGAAAACAACTGGCGGCGGTCGCAGCCTTTTTTCCATCAAAAACGAAACTAATTCCGTAAAAGTGTTAACGGTAAGAACTAAGAAGACAAAGGATGGCCTTGAGTCACATCAACAGAAAACTAGATTGAGACATAAAATTGAACATTTCACAAGAAAACCATGCATATAAGAATATATAAGTTCGACAGGAACAAGGCCATGCAGCCAGAACTTTAGCTCTTTCAAACAAATGGCAGGGTAAAAGCTTTGAGCATACACTGAGCACAATTTTAATAAAAGTTCGTGCATGGACGACAGACCGAAATACAATTGCAAGCAGGTTTGTCAGGTGCATGTGCTTTTAGGCTTATATTATGTATAGAAGCATTACGTCTTACGATATAGAGCACTGATATCCGCAAAAGACAAGAAATGTCATTGCAGGAAGACTCTGAGGCTTTCTCAGCTACAAAAGAATAAATTACACATTAAACTAACTAACTGTCACATTTCTAAACCAAATAGATTAAATCGATGTACTTGTTGAAACAGTGGAATGGTTCGTTGGTAAAGCTGAACGTTTCATGTCATGAGGAACAACACTGTGTTCTTCTTAAACTCCAAACTTTATTCCAAAGACATTCTTCAGAGGTTAGTTTACTACACTGCAGTTTTAAAAACTGTCCGTCCATTCGAATTAGGAGTATAGACAAACCTTTTCCTATTTTCCAGGTACCTCCTATATCGTCGACTGACACTACATCGTATACAGACTATGACACCACTACGCATACATATACGGAGCAGTATTCCTCGAGCCATACATTAACTGATTATTCATCGAGCAGTACAACAGCCGCATCCACCAGT